CATGGAGCGTGCAGTTTACATGAATATGTCAGCCTTCCAGGCTTTCAGGTAGGTCGGAGATGCACACTGTATTTTGTCTTCTGAAGCTACATCACTAGATAAATCTTGTTTCCACAAATCTGTAGATAAGGTTTTTTTTGTGTTTTGACCAAGCTCAAGTTTTCTCTAAAAGTAGCATTTACTTCAAATCCGATCTATTTTGGTAAAATATTGATTAATCATTTAATTCTTTGATGATCCCGGCATGTGTTGACAGCTAAAAACAAAATTCAGAACGGGCGTTCCAGAGAAAAACGTCAAGTATCATAAGGTACCAGAATTATGAAAAAAAAAATAAAAATAAAAAAAAAATATTTATAAGAATTTCGAAATTATGGGGGTTTAAATTTTGTATTTTGACTTTCTTTGTTTTTGTAGGAAAAATAATTTTACATCTTTTTTTTGCTGCAGGCTATTGGAAGAGAAAACAAAAAAGCAGTGCTTAGAAATTATGTTTAAAGTTATTTGTGGTTTTTATTGGCAAAGTATTTGTACTTTTACTAAATAATTGTAAAATAAGCATATACAAGATTATCGGTAGCACTGAATAGACATAAAAGAAGGTCAAATGTCAAAATCTAAATTTTTTAACCTTTTTTCCTTTTTCCAGGTATCTTATTTTTCTTGGCATTTTTCTCTGGGACGCTCTGTATTGAAATTGACTCGATTTTAATAATTTCAGTTGATCTCATCCAAACATGGTTTAAGTGGCACCAAGTAGCATCAAGGTGAGTACTTCACATCCTATTACCGAGTAACAATTCCCTGAAAAGGAATAATTTGCCCATTCCAGCGGCTCATCTCCACAATACCTTTGCATTTTACAGAAATGTATCACCAGAGACTTGACTATTAATGTTCCATGATAAATATTTCAAGGCGTGCCTACGTTAGCACTTAATTTGGTTTGGTAATAAAAAGCAGCTCTTCGTTAGACCGTTTCGAAAAAAAATCAACTTGATACATTGGATTGTGGGGAGAATTCAAATCTAATGAGTCATTTAATTTTTCGCGTGCAAGAAGCATAGCTATTGGTGGTGGTACGAGAGAATATTAAATTATAATCAAATGAAGCGTGCTGCAAAGTAAGGGCAGACAAGCTCTGCCTGACTCACGCTACAGGTGCGCTTATTCTGTGTTTGTTTATTTTATGAGCACGACATGATCATGTAAACAACTGGATAAGAACGTTTATTTTAAATTTGCCCCGAGTATTGCAATAATTAATAAATTATACGATCATCTAAATTGCCTCAATTAGTGATAGGCATTTCACCAATTTGCATAATGGGGCTTTTGTATTTATTGCCCTTTTTTTTCGGAAATTTTCACTTAATAACTCATAAAAGTAGTGAAACTAAAAAGAAGAGCCTGCAAAGAACATTTTCGTTGTAGGTACCCGGGGAAAAAACTATTCACTACTAACTAGTTGGAAAGCAGGTAATATGTCGAAAAACCCTTATTTAAGAAGTTGATCCAGACTCAAAAAATGTCTTTTTGTGAAAATTACTTCAATGAGCAAGCTGGCTCAAATTAGCAAATTACAAATACATAAACTTATTTAAGAAATGTATTTTGCAAGTATACAGTATGTTCCTGGATTATGTTTACAAGAGGAAAAAATTTTTACCTTTGATTTTACGCCAAAACTGCAAAGAAAAAACATTTTTACCTTGACTTGACTTTTAAGGTTCTTTATCTACAGCTTTAAAAAATCAAGATTGTAGAACTAGTTTTAAATGCCAGAATTTTTTAATAAACTGTAAATTGCCAATTTCTATCAAGTTATTTCTTTTATAATCAAAATTCTGAACTTAATAATACATTTTATAACAGCCAGTCAAAAGGAAACACATTTTTACCTTTGATTTTACGCCCAAAAAGCAAAGGAAATACTTTTTTTCTACAGCAAATGTTAAATTATTTCTTTATAAACTCTTTTGAGTAGATAAAGTAACACTTTAACAGCAAGGGTTGTTTTTGCTTTATCTGAAACGAGCAAATCTGTAATTAAAACTTCATTATTCTGACTCAGTAGAAAGAAAAGTTAATTTTTGTCTTACTTTTGGACTTGTAATAATAATCTTTTTTCGCTTTTCAGGTCCCATCACATTGGCGATTTTATTTTTTTGACAACGATATCACTTTGACAATAATTACTTAATTAATTGAATTGTTTTTGTTAAAAATGACTGTTTTTTTCAGAAGCTGTTTTTTTGACTTGCCATTTATTAAAATTATATTTTTTTCACAAACATTTTTGTTATTTAACTTGCGTTAACTCATCTGTCAAAACGACATCGTTGTCAAAAAAATAAAACGCCAATGTGATGGGATTTAAAACGCAGAGAAAAAATTACACTAATTTATACCTTAGCTAAAAGTTATAATTTCTTATAGATTTTGAGGCATTGAGTTCAAAAAAACCTATTTATATATGTAATTAACAAAAATACAAAAACCGCCAAAGAACAAATTAAAAAAGAGTTATTTTACTTTTTTTTATTATACTTTTTTGGATCAGTTTTCTTTATAACAATCCAACAGTAATCTACTAACATATTTTCATCCCAAAAACCTTCGTGTCGATCTTTGAAAACCCTTCAGATCTTGATTAAAACGCTCGTCTTGTTTGTCTCTCATGCTCCCTAAATTTTTAGAAAAGAAGTTCAAATGCGGGTGAAATGTTATTAAGACCTATTTAGACCCATATGGTAATAATTTTGCAATAATTCAGCAACAATTTGAATTTAAATAAATTTTAAATCGGAAGCATTTGTGCAGAAAGCAGGAAAACTATCGTCTGCAACAAAAAAGTGTGACGTGATAGAAAAATTTAACAATTATTTTTGTTTAATTAAAGGTAAGTTAACATAAAAATAATAATTCGATTAAAGGTATATTAAATATGTTATTGTTTGTAGACTATAGTATTATTAGTTATTACAAGCTTAAGATCAAGAAAAAAATTAAATTTTCTTTCCACTGAGTGAAAACAATGAACTTTTAAAGTTACAAACTTAATGGTGAAGCAAAAAATGTTTTCTTTTGCAGTGTTAGCGTAAAATAAAAAAATCCGGGGACATACTGTATACCTAATATTAGTTATTACTATGATTATGGCATTAAATTTACCACTTTGGGTTTTTTGCTTTGTTTAGAAGTAATAAAAAATACTTTATACGATTTTATTTCTTTTTAGTTCAGAAAAATTGATCTATTCCTCCTGTTTTTTGCATTATATGAACCGGGTGTCCGATTTCAATCGCATACATACAGATTTAACATGGTATTGTTTATTTTTGCTGATTCCTGCTCGCCAATATCGAAAGATAAAACTATTTCACGTCAAATGATTTCAAAAATAAGAAACAAAATAGTATTTTTACTTTAAAATAGGTACAATTTTCAAATTCATAGAGCAATACACACAGCTACATTAAAAAAAACGGGAAATGAAAATGGTAGGAAAATTATGGATTTAGCGGCAGAATTTAGAGTGCCATCAAAATATTTGAACCTATTTTTTAATAAAACACGTTCACACCATGAAAAAAAAACTTCTAATTTTTTCACATTTCCCGTTTTTTTGAATGTTCGTGTATACAAGTACTTGTGAAAAACGTCAATTTTTTTTTACAAGTTAGTCCAAGTTAAGTAAAAATGAATAATCACTCCAATGCAAAACGTATACTTGATTTTCTTTACCTATTACATAACACTTTCTGTTGTTTTTGATAAAAAACAATTAAATTCTTGATTAATCAGATACCTGTTTATTGTATTATCACAGGAATTAGCGAATTGGCCAAATACTTCAGAATTGCATTTAACATATTATTTCCCTATGTTCGAGTTTGAGAGCGGAAACCCGGTATCTTTGCATGTTAATTGACATTTTTTAGCAATAAATCACTAAGTAATAACCAAATTAAATAGAGCATTTAATAATCCATAAAACGTATTTTATAATTACTTTTAGGTGCGCCTTGTTTATTCACCAGAACCATTAAAACCAATGTCAAAATCCTAAATCGTATTGCAACAGTACTACACACATTTTTCAAATTTCTGTGAGAAACAGTCTTGTAGACAATGTAGTAGTGACATTAATATTAAAATATGACCACGGAAATTCAATTTACACCAACAGTTAACGGAATTTGCATTATACTACTTTAAATATATCAGCTAATCCGAGTTAATGTTTTTCTTAATGCATGATTAACTTGAGAATTAGATTTAGTAAATGTGGTTTACCTTTTATTGCTGTAATATGGATTAAATAACTATTAAATTTGTTAAACTATTTACCTTATACGTAGTTTTTTTAACAAATTAAATAATAACGTTTCTTAACAAGAAAAAAACAGTAAATTGTGAAGGGAATTTCATATTTGAAATATGAGATATTTCTAGGCCTTTTGCAGTTAATTAATATCCGATTAAACGCGTCATCAATTTAGAGGAAGAAGCTGTAATTGAAGAAAAGAAGATCATTATTTAGAGTCACAATCTAATTTTGAAAATGCCAGATGCTGAGATATCATATATTTAAAATTAGTTCTTGTTAGTCATCGGAATTTATATTACTTACATGGGACACTTGATTACCAAAGTTTTGTCCAAAGTACCCTTGAAAGTGATGTCCTACTCCCGTGTTATTGGTCTTTCATTTAAATTTTAAATAAATTAACAAAACTAGTTTTAATATGACGCATCTCCCATTTCATTTACTTTTTTCATTAACCGCAGACATAAAATTATGGTTACTGGGCGCCGACCCGAGAAGGACCGGAAGTGCCTGTAGAGGTGAATCACAGACTTTACAGGTCACTTGATCAAACCACCATTAGGTTGACTCATCTTGTATTTTATGTATTATTTAACCATGCAAATAACTGTAAAAGTTATTCTCGAGCTAAATTAATTATCAAGTTCCAAATGACTCACACACTCAGTTTTAAACTAGAAAAATATTTTATTTAAGAAAAAAAGGTACAAAAATATTGGAAAGGTACAAAATTAAATTAATTATGTTTCAAAAGAGAAATTTCTTCTTCCAGAAGTGCGATTTTTTGCTTCAACATTGAATTTTCTTCAAGGAGATACTGACTTTGAGGAACATCTGAAAGTAACTCTTCACGTAAACTATTAAACTGATTTTCAACTTTGATTGATTCCTTAACTGTAGCCATCATCAAATTTAAAAATAGTTGTCTTGTTTGGTATAAAGTATTTGTAGTTTGATACTTCATTTCATTCTTTAGTTCCTCTGTTACAGCTTTTAACTCATCGCTAACGGTAGTTTTTATAAATTTGGCCAAATTGTCTGTGTTTACTTTCTCATTGTCACCACAATCCTTTTTTGGTTCTAAATTAACGATTGGTGACAGGGGAGCATTTAATTCGAAATCGTATGTTTCGGGTGTCGAAGTTTGAAAATTAGAAAAAAGTTTGTCTTGTAGAATTTTTGACGGTTGTGTTGGAGTATATTTCGGCATGAGATATTTGTTACTTTGATAACTGTCTTGAATATTAGATCCAACAGTATTATTTTTATCCAAGCCCAATTCTGCTAGGAAAGAATCTTCGGGTTTTGTTAGACTTTGAGTCTTTTCTGAGGTTACTTCACTACAAACCAGTTCAATATTAAACGATTCAGTGCTTCGATGAGTTTCAACTAAGTTAGATTCTTTGACCTCCTCCAAAGACATAAAACTAGTTTCATAATCTTCATTTTTCCTAAATGACAAGTGCTCGACAGCGTTGTTGTGTCCAAAAAACGAGTAGACAGGTTGTTGCAGATTCTTCATGTCGTAAACGTATATTTTTCCTTTTTGAGATCCCATGACTACAAATTTTCCATCTGGTGAAAAATCAACCGCTGTCATACTATTCTCGACAAAAATATTCCCAATGCATTTATTGGCTCCAATGTCGTAGAAGCAAAACTGTCTATCAAAACCGGTCGAAACGACCAAATCCGAATTCACCGGTGAGAAGGCAACTGCAGTGACTGGGGCTTTGTGTGACCCAATAAAAAATTTATTCTTATTCCCATGGATGTCCCACACAGCCACGACTCCTTCATTGCTTCCCGCGACGACGTAATTTCTCTTAATCGGATTCGTCCTGAGAGCACTTATCGATTGAGACCTAGGAATTTTGAAACTCCCTGAAAGAGTATTCTGAACGTGACTGTAGAGATAGGCCTCTCCATTTTCGCATGCCGCTACCACATGATTGTCTTTGGAGGTGAATTCAACATGTGTTACCCCTGAAGTGGTCCTCGGGAATCGCTTCTTTATGTTGCGAGCTTTGATGTCGTAGACAAATACTTGGCCACTTTTCGTTCCAATGGCGATGTTTTTCTTGGTGGTGTTTTGGAAGGAGGCGCACGAAGGGTCTTCAATGTTCTGGATGGTGTGGATGAGTTTGAGCTGTTCTTTGATGCTGATGATTTCAGCGAGGCCAGAATAGGGAACAAGAGCTAGCCAGTTGCCGTCTTTGCTCCAGGAGATGCTGCGGATGGGACCGTCGATTTGGGGGCCCGGTTGGTAGTTATGAAGCACGTTTCCGGAAGGAAATTCGTGAAATTTTACGCTGGTGGAAGCGGACGCGATAGACATTTCTGGAACAAATAATGATTTCAAATTCTTGTAAAATTAAATTTTCAACACGTTTGTGTTTTTGATTAGTTGGTAATTTTTTGTAGTTAGAAGGTGGTAGTTTTTTTTTTTGAACTGGAGTTTTTTAGAAACAATTATCATTTGTTCTATCAAGAGACGGTAGGAATATGATTCTCGTTTATCTATCTTAATCACTAACTAATTAAAAACGTTGTTATTTTTGAAAGGGTGAACAAACTAGAAAAGATTATCCAGTTTGTCAAAATTTGTAATCGAATTTGAATCGAAATATGTATTATTGATTGCATCTTACTCTCGTAAAAAGGCAATTTTATTACTAGTTGTTTCACAAGCAGTTACTCATAATTTAAAGGCTTGGCGTCCAGATCGCATTATCGAGAAAAACTTTTACAAAAACACTTAAAATTATACTTATTTTGCTATTTTTCCTTCAGACACTTAGAATTTCTTCAGCATTTTGGAAAAATGTATCTAAAATGGTGGCTTTTCAATTATTTTTCTGGTGACATGTTTTACGTCTTTTTACTTATCATTATTTAAACAATTTTTTTGGTAATATGCTTGTACAGTTGGTTACAATAAAAACGGAAAATTGAATTATCTTTAGAATGAAACAGGTTTTGCCTTTGTCAATTTGGCATTTGTCGCATTCAAATATTTTTTTTGCATTACCACAGTTCAATGCCGAGAGCAAATGCAAATCAAGATAATCAATTAGTTGAGTACTTATCTACGTGAAAACTCAATGAGTAGTGAGTACAGTGATGGACAGTGAATTTCGTCCACCCAATTTACCTGACGGATTAAAAGTGTAAATTAGTCTTTAGGTTTTCCTAACCTTGTTTCAGAATTTTGATTAACGTTTGTCATGTTGACAGAATGCTCGATGCTTCTTGCTACTTATCACCTTTGTCCTTTGAAATGGTAATCCTTGGTATGCCCAAAAGTATAGAGACACGTCTGTCAGACATACCTTCTTTTACCAGAGTTCGAATTTGATTAAATTTGACAATACGTATTTGAATGTCAGTTATCATGACAATAAAGCACAGACTACAGTCAATTTTTGTGAATTCACAGAAATGGGTGGACGAAATTCACTGTCCATCACTGTACTAAAGATTAAGTGTCAATTCTAACTTAACCTTTTAGAATTAAGTCATGTTCAAATTTTGGATAAATATAAAAATCTGACATTTCCGATATTTTTGCAACCAAGTGTACCAGCCTAATACCGAAAAAATATTTTCATCTTCATTCTCGACGATCACCACACCACCACATCGTGTTTCTTCATTGTTATTACCAAGAAAAGTTCAGACACCCACTCAACACTTCTTCTATCTTTTCTGTTAGAATAATGTTCCAGTTTCTGTTATAGTATTTACATTTTCATGGGAGAATGGGATATGAAACATACCTACTTTATTTTACACTTTTGATTTGCTACTGTACAGGGTGATTCCCTTAGGGCCTACATTACAAACTTTTTAACTTCTAATGCAGATAGGAATTTGAAATTATGTACACAACCCAAATCGACCACTCCAAGTTCAATTAAATTATTTTCAAAATTGCTGAACATCCGGAACTACGCGCCAACTTTGAAATTTTTAATGGTAATCACTTATTTTTATTCCATTTTAAATACTCTTCTCCAAACTGAGTAAAATGTACCTAGTTGTTAGTACTTATCTGTGATAGTTTTTGACATATGTCAAGTTTTTAGTAAAAATTTTCATTTGCAGGAGTTCATTTAAAACATCACAGCTCTTGAACCCTTTGCGATAAGTGTATATATTTTTTACATTCGATAACCAAAGATTCGAAGAGTTTTCTAAAAATTTTAAAATTGTCAACTGTCAAATTGCAAAGTTAATATGATTTTTTGAAAATGATGATTAACAAACAGCTGTAACTCAGTTTTCTCAAATAAATTGACGTTATTTTCTCAACGACAATCGAAAGTACATCGATTTGTAGAAGGACTTTTATCAACAGTTTCTGTAATAATCACGAAAAACGTGTTTTTGTTTTTTTATTTTATAGTTAATCACAGTTTGAAAAAGTAGAATTTAAAACCGCAATAAAAATAAGTGGTTACCATTTAAAATTTCAAAATTGGCGCTAATTATTTCTCGTAGTTCCGGAAGTTCTGCCATTTTGAAAATAATTTAGTTAAAAAAGTCAGACTGGTCGATTAGGGTTGTGTACAAAATTTCAAATTTTTTTCTGCATTAGAAGTTAAAAAGTTTCTAATGTAGGCACTAAAAGAATCACCTTGTATACCTAATGACTATTCAATTCTCCTCTCTTTTTTCAAATATTAACCAATATAATAGCAGATATTTACTTTCGCATCTTAGCAACAACAAATTCAAGAAAATATTCCACTTGTGATAAAATATAACTGGATATTTCACGAGTAGTTGCAGTGAATATTTTAAACTAAATTGTTTTTTACCGGTTGCTATAAAAACGAAGTCATGTGTAATGCCAATTTGGCATTTGGTTCATTGATTAGTCTGTTGAATACAATTCGTAGTCAAAGAATGTAGAATATTTTTATTCATAGTCATTACGCTTGCTGTCATTGAATGTTCATTGACCAAGGAAAAGAATTAATTTGAATCCACAAAAAAATTGCAGTGGTAAATTTGTACCGTGCGATCAAAACAAAAATAAATTAGAGCAGGCCACGATTAATATTCTACAGTTGGCAACACGTTGGCTTGGAATCTGGGCTGGAAATTTTCCACACACAAACTGACCATTCACCGTTTTCGTCTTGTACAGCATTTTTCTAATAACTTGCGATAATAACAATTTTCTGCTCTAAAGTGAACATTATTTCACTCAAAATGAATAAAACGCACACTTGTCAAAGTTTCCGCTGACATTTGATGTCAAAAATCAGGATTGCCATCTGAAAGACTTTAATCACCCCTTACTCTAATTTATTTTTTTTTCGATCGCACCCAGTAGTATCGATAATTTTTTGACGTTTCCTGTCAGACTGAGTCACAATTTTTTTTTGTATTTTTAAGCACATTTTTTGTTATCTCTTCATCAATTTCTCCATCTTCTTTTTCTCCAAATCTTCACAACTAAATTTCCATCTTTGGAAGCAGTTTTAACAATTTATTTGAGAGAAATTTGTAGACGCTTTCTTACACTTATGACAGTTGTCGAATATTATTTCTTATTGTTACAGTAACACAATCATGAATGGTTCGATTTATAAATTATTTAAGTTGCGTAAACCGGATTTAAGGGAGTTAATTCATTAAATAGTCCTCCGAATACGAACCGTAGTCAATGTTCTGCAGATCATTTTTGCAGTGGTTACACATGTCGACTGTGCAAATTTTAATTTTACAAATTTTATTCTTTACAACTTTCTTTTTTACATTTTTCTTGTATCTTCAACAGTATTCGCAGCATTTTGAAAAACATAAAACGGAGCACAGATTTTGAATTTTAAATATTTTTTTTCTCATATTCCTCGTGAAAACTTTAGTGGTTCGTTTTTTACAGCTTATTAAGAATATATTATATTCAATATAATAACATTTTTGCATTTTTTTCCAAGCAGTTAGTAAACTGGTTGAATTTAAATTAATTAAAAACGATTTGAAACTGAGATGGTAAAACGCTCTAAGCGCCCTCATTTTTACTCCGCCGTACTACTTTTTTTTTTTGGATCCAAAAAATAGAGCAATTTTGTATCTCGTTTCGTCTCCATAATAGTGAAGAAAGCAAATGCTAATATCGTCAAGTATTTACTTCCTACAACCAACAAAAGCATTTGTTTCCGTTTATTAATACTGCCACAATTAATACATGCAGCGTCCTCTACCACGTTAAACTCAAACTTTACCCAAAGCAGGTATTATAATTTTCTGTACTCAGGCTAACAATTTGACATTTGATAAATTGACAGTAAAAATCTGCCGGTGTGTGGACTAAAAGCCACGTAAAATATACTACTCTATTGAAAATTGATTAAATACCGAAAGGGCACAATCACAAATCACGTAAGTGTTTAGTCCTTTTAAAATACGTTCTTTTCGTGTAAAAAAATGGTTTAAAAATGTCAGTTAACGGTCATAAAAATAAAAACGTTAAATACCAAGAATGGATGAAAATAAGAAATGGGCACAATTTACAAATATCACTTACCTCTGGTTTTCTAATCTACGGTAAACAAAGTAATAACGCGACGCGAATAACGAATTTCGTTTTTAAAATACAGAAAAAAGGTTAAGTATTTACGCGAATAAAAACGATAAACGGTGCTTGAAGGTGCTGACATCTACACTAGTTTGAAAGTAGTTACAGTTTCCTGTTTTAAAGTTTTATTTTTCAACCACTGTCTAATTGTTTGTGTATTTTTTATAGGATGGTAACCGACGTTCATCTGGCAATTCTTTCCAATGCTCTCGGAGTTATTCTGTTTCTGCTTGTCGTCTTGTTCCATTACATAAATGCAAATTATTCTAGACAGTAATAAAATGTTAAAAATGTATTCGTTAACTACTGTTTATTTGTAATTTGTTTGTAATTTTTTTTATAAAAACTGTTGAAATGCTTTTTTACGAGTTTTTTTTTATAATAGGTACTTCTTGTTGGATCTTCTTGGTATGGGAAGGATTAATACAACACAATTTGAACCTGACACAACAAACTTTTACTTTTTTTATTTCGTTTAATTTTTTTTAAATAAAACTTGGTGTCGGGTTTAAACTCTGTTTGTGTTCAGTATTTTATAATAAATAAAATGTACCGCTTAGCGGACAAATGCATAATTTGATAAAATGGATTGATGTATCAGATTCAGTTTTCTGCAGTATGTTAGAATGCCTAAATAACTTAAAAGTCTAAACAAAAGTTATGTTGATTTACCCAATTTTGAAGAACCCACAAACCTCGGTTTTTACCCGCTATTGTTTTTACTGAAAAAAAAATGCATTTAGGGCAGCTAGACCATCGAAATTATCTTAAAGTATACATAAACAACGTTTTGAACTAATTATTATACCTACCTTCACTGTTTTTTACCTATTTATATATTTTATTTATCCGTGTATAATTTCAAATCATCAGAATATTTATAATTAAACGAGGCTTTATGCCTATTTATTGTTGCCAACATATCATAACACCAATTAACGTATTTTAATAAAATGAACACCATTTGAAAGAGTAATTTTTCTTCAACTTTTTCAAGAGGAAATATATCTAAATTCTGTTTCTCGGGGGTCAGGTCATTAAAAAGCAAAACAAATTTGGGGTGAAAATAAGAGATTCCTCAAAGCTTATATTTTCAAAACTAATGAATTTACGAAATTTTATTCTCTACTTGTTAGGTGGTTCTGAAGATAATGTAGATGTATTCGTAATTTGCAAATAAAAGGATTTTATGTTTATTGGCTTCCTGGAAGGTCTGGGAAAATCCTTTCAGGTTTGTAGGTCTTTTTTTATATAACTATATTAAATGTTTACTATCCAAACATCAAAGTTTGACAAATTGATTAAACCTGACAATTGATTCAAAACTTTAAACAAAATTGAGCTCTCCCGTCTGGTGTTGAATTTCCTGCGTTTTCGTTGTGTTTTTGGCTTTAATTTGAACAAATCAGTCTTTATCAAGTTGTTGCCACACAGAGTGTTGATGATTTGGGGTGGTGATGGTCTTTGCCGTAATTTTTAAAATAATAGTATATTATAATACTAGTTTATAAGCAAGCCTTTAAAGCACGCACGACGGGTTTAAGAGCACGACGCGTCAGCGGAGTGCTTTTAACGTCGTAAGTGTTTTAAGGGCGCGTTATTAGCCGCTACGGCAAAAAAATGAACTTCAGCTTCATGTTTAAAATGATAAAGGACAGTTCAGTCTGAATTTTGTTATTTTAAATCATTTTCTCAGTTAAATCATTTAAAAACAGTCGACCAGGTTGTTCAGTGGGCCGTTCAGGAATTGTTATTGATGTAGAGAATGGCTACCTAGGAGCTTCACCAGATGGTATGCATAGTATAAGTAATTTTGAAATATTTTTATTTTATTTTAAGGTTTAATTGGTAAAAATGGCATAATCGAAATAAAATGCTTGTATAAAGTACACAAGGCTGGTCTGACACTGCGAAAAGCTGCAGAAACTGACAAAACTCTTTGTGTACAGATTGATAGCAAAAATAAAGTTGTTTTAAAACGAACACACAAATATTATTATCAGGTAATTATGCCCACTGTAACAATGTGATTTTTATAAAGATTTTATAGGTGCAAGGCCAATTAAATATATCTAAAAAAGGTATGTGTTTTTTTATTTTATACATTAATGACCAAGAAGATCTCCATGTGGAAATTATTTTAAGAGATGAACAATTTTGGGCTGAAAAAATGCTACCCTATTTAAAAACATTTTATTGGGATTGCATTTTAACAGAAATAATACTCCGAAGAATCCCAAATGGTTTAAAAGCTGTTGAAATAAAGTAATTAGTATAAAATAATAAAATATTGTCATTTATTGTTACCTGGTTATCTAATACCTACCATCTCTCCTTTCCATTTACATTGAAGCCATATGCCTACTGTTTGTATCATTTTAAAAAGACATATTTTGTACATACACTCGTAGGAACAATATAATCTGCGCAGTAAATTTTCAAAATCTGGTAAAATTATGTAAAATTAAGACATTGGTATATACAGATGAAAAATATTTATAATAAAAAATTAAAATTTTAAAATATTAATGTCAAACCACCTTTGCATCTGCTGTCTTACTTCTAATCCTAATCATTTAACGTATTTTATTACAAGAGACGTTGATTTGACCAGAGATTTAATATACATATCCAAAGCCTCTGGATTTGACAGATATTTTGTCCCTAGATCCTGGTGATTTTTAACACTACTAAAATCACCAACTGGACAAAAATAAATCCTCCATTTCTAGGAGGCAAGCCACTCATTTCATAACTTTATTCACCATTCACAGAGTAACAAAATTTAATGAATGATATTTTCCTTTTAGTTAGTTGTTAATACAAGGATTCATAATTTCATTACAAAAAAACATTTTTACATTGGCCCCCTCAGCAGAGAAAACTATCGAACTACAACAAACGTTACATTCAAATAATGGCGGTCTTTGTACTATTTTTTCTTCAATCAGTTTAATGTAATTATGTACTATAATGTATCATGTAGTAAAGGAGTTGTTATATAACTACATGAAGAAGTTTGTATTACTTTTTAATTGAAATTTTATTAAACAACATTTTATCTAAATGGAGAATAACTATTTCAAATAAACTTTTAATCATTAAAAACTACACTAACCTCTTTCTTATTATTTTTATAATCTGTATCTGTCAAAAATTTCAGTAAAAAATCAAAATAAAAAAAATCTGAATGAATTACTCAAACGATGTTCTGACGTTTCAGTAACGCGCCCTTAAAGGCGCTTATAAACGAGTGTTATACGCTATTTTTTATTATACCTGCCCCTTTACGATATTTTATGAGCATTGAAAAAGTGTGAATTTACACAATAAAATGATCAAAGGTTGTTTGTAAATCGTTTTCGTAGAGACGGTTACTTGTTTACGTTGTTAAGCACATTTTTTCACGTTGTAATTGATCCAGACATTTCACTATTTCTTGTTACCTAGACAACTTTAAAATTTCACCGTGCTATAAAGGCCAAATAACGCACGCAGCAGCGTGTTTTAATTTAGGATTATGATACAGGTATAATAAAAAATGTATTTTTTCCAAACATAATACATATTTGCATTCTTGTGAAGGTAGATAAATAAGATGCCTATTCCTAGGAGAAATTAGAAATTCCTAATCCTTTTACCTGTAAATGTCTCACAAACATAAACCAAAGCTTTTGTCTACCCAACTAATGCTTGAACTTGTTTGTGAAAAATTTTAATATATGTAGTTGGTACCAACAATATTTGAGACTCCTAGAATAAGACAACCCCCCAGGGTGGTTCATGGGGCTTGCGGTAGAGACGCCATAAACAAATTAGCATTTCGTAGGACAGGCACGTTTCAAAGGTTTGTAGGAAGAAATGGTCTGCAACAGAAATTTATTTTTGGGCTATTTTTGTAAATCTTCAGGGTAGTGCTACCAGTAGTGAAAAATTATAATCCTGTTATGGGCACTTTTGCCGTTTTTAGTTTATTTTAAGCAAAAACTCTTTCTAAAATTACAATTATATTGCAAAATTTTTTTTTTCAAAACATTTTTATTTTGAGAATTTTTAAGGGATGATGTATCTCTAACTGGCTCCACCCTTCACGCAGGTTTGGGTCACGACATTATACAGGGTGTTTCGTTTTTATTGTTACAAAGTTAAACAGGTGATTGGATATTCAATTCTAAGACAAAAGTTTCCTATAAATATGTATCTAAAAATGCTTGGTAAGGGAGCTACACCCCTGGAAGGGGGCTAATATATTTTTGCTAATATTTCAGAAACCATTTAAGATAAAATTACATAATTGGGTACAGATGATAACCTTTATACACCTAAACGAATTCAACATCAAATGTCGAAATTTTTAATCAGGGGCGTACAAAACTGGGGGAGTTTAAGGTAAAAAAATACCCTATTCATTTTGACTTTAGCTTCTCGGTACTTTCAGCAGCAAAATCTTAAGTTCGATAGTTTATCTCAGAAAAGTCTCTCTCTTGTGTCGATACGACTTATTGTTTTTGAATAAAATTAACTTAAAATGTATGTTACACACCAATACAACATTCAAATAAATCAGAATTTACAGAAAAATAAAAGCAAGAAATTCTTATTTTTTAATCAACCTCAACTAATAAACATTTCATTATAGTAACAATAATAACATTAATTAAATGAATTTGCCTAAATCTAAAGGAGTTGTTCAAAGTGACCACCATTTTGGTCAATGCATAACAAAAGAAACGAAAGCCAAAATAGATAGGGTTTTTTTTTAGCCTAAACCCTACCAGTTTCGGACGCCCCTGATTAAAAATTTCGACATTTGAGGTCCGAATTCGTTTAGGTGTATAGAGGTTATCATTTATACCAAATTTTGTAATTTTACCTTAAATGGTTTATGAAATATTAGCAAAAACCTATTAGCCCCTTTTCAGGGGGTGTAGCTCCCTTACCAAGCATTTTTCGATACATGTTTATAGGAAACTATTGTCTTAGAATTGAATATCCTATCACCTGTTTAAATTTGTAACAATAAAAACGGAACACCCTGTATAACAGCGCTAATTACTTTTATTTTGGATGTAATGCTTGTATTATTTATTCCATGTTAATAAGAGAGTTTCTGAAGCGTTTTTTTAGGGTTTTCTTCTAAATTTAGAAATACCTAGGTGGAAACAACATGTTTTGTCGATGGTTTACATAAAGCAGGTACAAACCTCAAGTAAGAGTAAGGTCAAAGTGTGAAATAATTTTTAATGAACTTTTAGAGGTTCTGTCTGTTTATAATTGATTGACTGTACTTATGGACAATACACAGAGTAAAAAATGCTTTCGATGTTGATATACGTTTTTGAGTTTCATGTGTAATTTTTGTTTAATGATAATCAATTCTGTTTGACTGCATTTATGTATGTACTTTGCTACAAAACCTGTATTAATTAATTATTTGCTATACATTTTGTATCAGATGTAACAGCTTTATAGGAAAATATCTGATTAATGGTGGATTTATGCTTCCATATTTAAGATTTATTATTTAAGATTTAATTTAACAATTGATTTGACATTTTACTAAATTTTCCACTTTATATTTTTAAATTAACCAAAAAGTACTTATTTAAGGAGACACTCGTATTTTACACAAACATTTGCTAAATTAGTGACAATTCTGACAATCTATAAACTATACAGAGTGCGCCAGAATTCGCGCTCCAGAGAAAAATGCCATATAAGGTAAGATACCAGGAAACTGGAAAAAATATTAAAAAAAATTTCGAAGTTATGAGGGTTTAAAGTTTGCACTTTGACTCTATTTATTTCTGTTGGAAAAAAATAATTACGAGGTTCAGTCAAAGATTTTATCAATTTTATTTGTCATTTAACGTAAAAAGTTAAAAGTTGGGAACTATTAAATAAATCTTAAACAGTAAAGCTTAAATGTTAAATGATAGTATAAATGTTACCATTGAAAATGCATATTGATGTTCTTAAATGTAAATTCTTAAATTATATCTTAAATGATAGGTAAATCTTAAATATGGAAGCATAAATCCACCATAAATATTTGTTGCACATCAAAAAATTATAATACAATAAACTGTATTACTTACTTACATAACTGTTTTCATACAGATAATTACCTACGAAAGTTGACGATATCAAATGATTATTCTCTTAATCACACGTGTGCAAATATGAAAATTACGTAACAGAGGTTGGCGGGTTGGGCGTGATTGGCTGTTTGTTTTCTTATGCACTTTTTTTTTGACATTTACTTACTTTATCGTTCAAAATTGACGCAAAGTTCTGCAAATTCAAACCATCGAGTATTTCAACCTAAATCACCTTAATTAAGTCAGTAGTACTTAATACTAATAGACACCTAATTTATTACTGCCGTTGTTAGATTTTTAACAGAAACATTAAATCGTTTCATTGAAAATAGTGGTATTTTTTTGTCGTGGTATAATTGAGGGGGTTGTGCGAAAAATAGTGTACATAAACCGCTGGAAAGTGTCTAACGCACTCGGCTGATGCCTCGCCGAGTGCACTTGTGCATTATTTGTCACTTTCCGTGCCGGTTATGTAATACAGGGTGTTTCACTCAACTTTACGAGGCTTGCGCCTAATGTACGCACCCAAATATACAAAATTCACAAAACACTAGATACAAAAAATACACTTTTAATTATTTAATTTTTAGAAACCCATGACAATAGTTGTCAAACTAATCACTGTTTCATTAATAGTCATAAACTGCAATTTTTCAAAAACAATTATCATTTGCTCTATCGAGAGACGGCATGAATATGATTCTAGTTTATCTATTTTAATCACTAACTAACTAAAAATGTTGTAATTTTTGAAGGGCTGAACAAAATTTGTAATCGAGTTCGTGTCGGAATATGTATTATTGATTGCATTTTACAGGGGCAGGCCTCGTAAAATTATGTGAAACACCCTGTATACCTATTATTTTGCAACTAGGTATTCTAACGATTTTATTATTATAAGTAGGTACTAGATATTAATATTGGCATGCAATCCATCTGAATTTTATGAAATTGTTTTCATCAATTTATACAGGGTTATTCATAGGGGTATTTCTGATTTTTTTTGCCGCAACCCATTATACATATTGCAACAATTTCTTGATTTCAAATTTTGAAAATAATTATAACTGAATTCACAATGGCTATTATTAGCTTTGTCTCTTTGATATTAAAGCAAAAAATTATCCCTCAAACGATGTCACATGTTGTGTTATCATTTACGAGTACCATCCCACTGGGCGCAATGGTATTAGACACTTCCAACACCTTTTACATTTACTTAATTTGTTAATTTATTTGTTGAATTTTGATTAAATATAGGTTATCTGACATTTCTGGTAAATCTATCCAACTTACTTTGATTTCTAATTTAAAGAAATAACGTATTTAATTTAGCAGTTAGTGATTGTTTCGTAAATAACACTGTATAGTGTTATTATAGTGTAAAACTGGAAATTGTAATTTCTGAATATGATTGTCTAGCACTTCACCTACATATTTTCATAGCTAGTTGATTGAGGCCAAAGGGTACTCCTTTTGCTCCAGTTTTTCGAAACAATGTTGAATAGGAAATTATATTCAGAAATGTTAATATCCTTTAAAATACCAATTATTTGATCATGCGTAAACCTATAGTAGGTATTGGATACCCAATATCAATGTAAATATTCATCCCTTCTCAAATCGTCTACCTCCATTCGTCGTCAACGTGCCAGTCGTGCCACTGTCTTTCTATCATAATTCGAAAAGTTCTGCGCGCTATTCTTTGATGTCGCTATTTTATACAATTTCCGATAATATAAAAACAGCTCACATTTTAACATGAGGTTTATGGTGTTTTGTGTATTAATATTAACGGTACATGGATGGAATTTTAAAAATGCCGAATTTAATGAATTGCCCGAGGAAAAACTCTTAGATGCACTGTGTCGAAGTTTTCATAAGGTAAGTACATATTGTATGTATGAATATTTTTCAAATGTCTGTTAATTTACTCTTCATTAAAGAAATAATTACAATTTCTGCACGAACCACGTGTTCTTCTTCTAATCAATTTTTTGCGTGCTTTTGGGATGTGAAGGTTAATACATTCAGATTTTGTTTACTGTCGTAACATAGGAAACTGGCAAAAATAAAAGACAATTTTGTGTTTGAGAGTTTAAAAACGTTGAAATAATATTATATGCCTATAATGATATGTCTGTTTTTATTTGAAGATGTTTTTTTTTATACAAATCCCTACATACCACACATACAGGATGCGCCAGAACTCGCGCCCCAGACAAAAATGTCGTATAAGGTAAGATACCAGAAACATGGAAAAAATGTTAAAAAAATTTTATCTATAAAAATTTCGAAGTTATGAGGGTTTAAAGTTTGCACTTTGACTCTATTTGTTTCTGTTGGAAAAATAATTTTCCAAATTTTTTTGCTATAGGATATTAAAAGAGGAAACAAGGAAGCTGTATCCTAAATTGTAACTCTGTTCAATGTTATTTGTGGCTTTTATTGGCAAAATTTTTGTCCCTTTACTAAATAATTGTAAGAAAACTTATACAAGATCATCAGTATCATTAAATAGATATAAAAAAATGTCAAATGTCAAAATTTTTTGACAGATAGAATTTTTTAAACATTTTTTTCATGTTCCTGGTGTCTTACCTTACTTGAAAATTTTCTCTGGGGCGCGAGTTCTGGCGCATCCTGTATAAATCAATTGATTTTGCAAAATTTGTTTTTAATCCCCTATGTGTTTACTGAAGTCAAACAACTAAAAGACGCTTTTTATTAAATTAAGGTTTCTGTTCGAAGATTGAAGCAGTTTTCATAGGTACAACCTAGGTAGTAGGTAACGTACTTACCGACAATTATTATATTAAATTTAATATTACAATTTTTTATACTACGCTTTTGAACATCCCTTTTAATTAATGTGCATACTTACTTACGATAAAAACTTTACGGAATGTTAAACACTGATTTCTCAACTTTATTGAAAAACTAGAAATTAAATTCTATTCTATAATGTCACATACGATGCGAATTAATTTTTATTAAACAAATAAATGAATAAAATGAAAAATTCATCTCAACAATGTAACAAAGTACACAACAAATGTTATAATAAACTGTTTACGTACATACGTGTTGGTAAAGTTAGCGAGAACAGAAATATGTACAGTTGGAGACAAAATACTTTGGTCGTCAATGTCACTTGATTGACATTAAATTGTAAAGCATGCTTTAGGACTGTTAACCTTATTTTTAGCTACTGTCAATCATAGTTGACAAGTTGTATGTACATATTTTTGATAGGAAAATATAATAGCTGTCATTAATTTGAAATTGTCATTCATTTTATCGTTAAAGTGTCAGAAAAGTGACGACCAAAGTATTTTGTCTCCAACTGTACATACAAAGTACATACCTTAATTGGCCGGGCATTAGCTTTGTGAACTGTAATTTTCAAAGATTTCTTATTTATAAAAGAAAGTTTTAATGAGGTTTCATTGAAAAGCAATCAAATCTATAGTTTGTTGTTTAGGTATTTAGGACTTTACTACTTTAGGAAATCATATACAGAGTGGTTCCAATATATCCTGGTAAAGAAAATCCATGTAGAACTCATACACAAAAAATATGCAATTTTTCAGATTTGTCACCAATGGTTGCGTAGATATTATTATCATTCTTTCAAACACTAACAATTAATTCCTGATTATGGCCCAGCTTCATAATACTTACTTTAAAGTCCGTTTACTTAAAGGATATTTAAAAATTAAAGTTCCTTTAAAGCGACTTTAAAGCTATTGCATTTTATAATATAAAAATGTATCATTTTAGTTAAAGTGGCTTTAAGTAGAGTTAGTATATTCATGAAACTTGTAAATTAAAATTGGTGGCGTTTTTTCCAAAGCACTCTTTAAAAAACGCTTTTTTTAAATTTTGATCAGCATGTAAAATTTAATTATATAAATTTTTTTTAGGAATTTAGAAATAAAATATGGCGTCCACAAGAAAATCCAAAGTTGAGTGTTGTAACTCTGTAATCAAGAGCGATTTGGAAAATACGATGACAGATTTAGATTCCTTGTAAAAAAGTCCTTGTAAAAAGAACGTCCTAGTTAAAAACGTCTAGGTCTTTTAGTTTTTGCTTGAAAAAATAAAAACGAAAATTACAAATTTCCGTTTTTTTTCCAATAATTCAAAAACTAATAATGACACATTAATTTTTTTTTAGATTATTGTTCAGCATAAATATACGCAACTTTGCCCTAATTTATCTCTTATAATAACTGAGATCCGAAAAACGAACACTCTGTATACAACAAAAAATGCTCGAAGGCACAACTATTGGCATTAATTATCTCAGGTTCTCAAGGTTGTACAAAATGGTACTTGATAAAATCCTTTCAAAAATTAGGTCGATTTTGTAACCACAAGTGTAAAGGTCTATTTTTTAGGGCTTTAAAATATAATTAATAATAGTTTCGCTTAATTTTAAATTGAGGAAATATGTCTTAAAATAATTGTTTTATTTTGAGTTAATTTTATGAACACTAATTGTATCTTCACGTTCTAAGTTATCTACATTTTAAATTACATAAAAATCCGTTGGCAAAAAAAAAGAGATATTATTTTATCCTTATTATTTTTGACCTAATAGAAAGGGCTTTTTGGAATTGTTAAATCCTTCTAATGACCCAGTATATTTTTGACAGGTTATCTGAGTACCATCCTGTACTAAAAGTTCGTTTAGTCGTTTGGCAAAAAGCTTTACCTAATTATTTGTGATAGATTCTAGAACTGTGTGCGGCGATTTCCATTATTTTCACTTTATAATAGAAATAAATTAATTATAATGCAGACGACAGGCAATTGACTTGCAAATCTAACCCTTTACCTAAAGCGTAAACATAAAATATTTTTCTTTGAAAAATTCTCTGTTGTGCATGCGTTTTTATATAGTCATCTAGCTGAAATAGAGAATATTGACTAAATCTTACAACAGTGCAGCTTAGAAATATTATTAGGAATATAGATCTCAAACACGAGTATAGGAACTTTTGAATAGACAACCAAAAATGCGGGATATCCACGGTAACTGTATAAATCGTTTAAATGGTTTGGAACTGCTGGAACAAATATCGCGAGATCAAGATAATTTGTAATCCGGTCATCTTTGGATTCGAAAACGTATGTCTATGAAACGTCAAATAGAATGACAAGTCGAAAGTTAAAATAACATGTGATTTTAATAACTAAATTTTAGGCCCTGTAGAATACAAGAAATTGTGTATTTAAACAAAATAAAAAAATACTATTCTTTCGTAAAATATATAGGTAACAACTTAAGTTGTTGTAAGTGTCTTAACCTCTTAAAGACAAAAATCAATTTGAAAAAAAAAACAAAATTTGTTTTATCAAACTTACTTTTTCTACTTTTTACCCCAAATATCACGCATTGACTCATATTTTGTACAGTCTTTGTGCAACCAAAGTTGGCATCTATATTTTATCCACTCTACTTCCTTTTTAATGCTATTTTATCAGATTTTTATAAAATGTAAAATTAAAAAAAAATACCTAACTTTGAATTTCAGAAGTGTAAATAAGATATTAATGTGTGAACATAAAGAAACGCCTTTAAAAAATTGCTTACGAGTGAAAACTTGATCGAATTTTTTTAGTTTCTTGCACAATACAATGGTCTCAAGTTAGCGTTATCACTTAATATTTATATACAGGATGCGCCAGAACTCGCGCCCCAGAGAAAAATTTTAAGTAAGGTAAGATAAAAGGAACATGTAAAAAATGCCTAAACAATTCTGTCAAAAAAATTTGACATTTAGTTTTTAACATTTGACATTTTTTTGTCTATTTAATGATACTGATGATCTTGCATAGAAATAAATAGAGTCAAATTGCAAAATTTAAACCCTCATAACTTCGAAATTTTTATAGATATTTTTTTTTAACATTTATTTCATGTTCCTGGTATCTTACCATGTTTTTTTCTGGGGCGCGAGTTCTGGCACACCATGTATATTTATACACAAATATCTACTATGTTTAACACAAATTATAATTGTGGGCCATCCCTCCCCCTCTTGCCCTATTCCAGGTCCGTATTTAACTTTTTCCACATTCATATTTGCCTTGCAAAATGCTTTTTAGGTTTTTTAGATTTTATTATTTTTTTGGCAAAAGTTAAAATAATTAAATTTATTATTATTAATAGAAAAGTAAAATTTGATACATTCGTAAAGAAGGTTTAGCTTTACCTTTTGATGTAATTATTGTTTTCATTATACAGAGTGTCTTATTAAAAGTGAATTATGAATTTTCAAAAAATCATAACATTTTTTTCTTATGTCGTGTTCTACTATTAATTCTCTTTTTTGATTCACTTTTTTGCAAAATTTTTATTTGGACAACAGTTTTTCTAATAAACAAAAAGTATTAAAAAATATTGAATTTTTGATTTAATTTTTGTTCTATTTTTTATATCATATTGTAACTCTGCTTTTTGATTTTTGATAACTGAAATTTATACTCAGTGTTCCAGATAGTTGGCGAAGTTTATTTTTTACCCTTATACGAGGTGAATAAAAAATGTGCAACCAAGCGATTTTCTTTTTAATCATTTGTCTTCAGAAAATAATACTTAATAAAAATTTTGTTTTACCTTCAATAAAGAACGGTCCTGTTACTATACGTTGGCGACTAATTTCAACCCATTTTGTCGTTTTACATTTTGACATGTCATTTTATTTGACGTTTCTCGTGCAGTACTGCAGTTAGTTCGAAAACAGACTTACGTTTTCTGATCCAAAGATGACTCGCTTACAAATTACCCTGATCTTCGAATGGTGATAAAAAAGCTTTCAGCTAAATTATGCAGATTTTTTTCAAGCTTTGGTTTTTGAGAAAAAAACAACATACAGAACCGAAAATTTACATGTTATCATGTAGTCATCTTAGTTCTTTGGTTTCCGATGTTGTCAGATTTAATTTATTGTTGAATTTGCTAATACCCATAATAAAAAAAATACATAAAGCAGAAATTTTTGTTCACCTCACAGTGGTGGCGTGTCTAAAAAGCTATTTGCCGACAATACTTTGAAGTTCTCTTGTATATGTGAGCGCTCTTATAAAAATTCATATCACAAAAACTGGAACTAACTTAAAATTTTTATGATCATATTTTAATTTTCTGATTCAAAATCAGTTATAATCAGTTATAATTGTTGTTGTTCAGTATTTTTTTTATTATTAGAAAAATGAAACGGAAATTTGTTAAATTAGTGTAAATTAGAGTTGGTTATTACTTATAAACTAATTATTTTTGTTTTTTTTACTATACCTAAGGTTAAATAACAGACAATGCTCATTATCGTTTATTTAAGGTTTTATTTAATTTTGATTTTTAATTGTAAAACAAATCTGTTTTAAATTAGGAAAATGGACAACAGTCTTCTGCGTGTGATAATAATGGCAGTAGATGTGATTGGCAGGGCAAGGAGTATCGCAAACAAGGTAGGTTTATTATCATTTATAAAGAAATGCGTCCAAAAATTATTAATTGAAATAAATAAACACATTATTATGAGGAACTTGTTGAATTTCGATTCAACAAAATTCGTTTTCTTCAAAAACAAAGCAACATCTAAACGTTTAATTTCAAAATTCTTTTATTGATTTAATATTTGTACTTAGACATTGCTTCTGTAAGTACGTCAGCAATTAAATAGTAGAATTAGATTTTTACTTACAAAAGTTGTAATAAAAAGATATTTCCCTATATTTATTTGCCTTGAAAAATGTTTCATTTATATTTCGTTTCAGAATTGAAGATGGAAGAATCATTAAGCTCGCTACAAATTAGATGCATCGAATGTAATAAGATTAGTTTCTATCTGAAATCGATAGATGATTTTGCTTATTTCCTGGAATTTTCAAATAAAAATATTAAAAATTTTAGCAGTGTGGTAAGTTAGTTAAATAACGATCAGAATTAACATCTAAAGCTATAATTTCTAGACCACGTGTAATTACTACACTCTGGATAATTTAAGCGAAGACACATTTTACGATATTCGACTATGGGCCGTTTCATTTTTGAAAAAACAAATTATACACAGCGACGAGTTGACAATTAAAACACCAAGCAGAAATTTAATTCCATCACCCGTCACGCATATTTCTCTTCAAAAACTTATTTTGAAAGAAGATACATACGATGCTTTAATTAAATGGAGTCCAAATGAAGGTGATTATTTCTACTCACCATAAAATTTTAACTTTTGTTAAGTAAATTCGATGAATTCAGATTTTATAAAATAACAGACTTGCTGACCCTGACCTTTTTAACACACCTATGATCATCATTGTGTTTGATCCAAATTGCCAAATACAGGGTGATCAAAAGTGTGACCAACTCTCTAATGGTGATGAAGAGACTTTCAGCTAAACACAAAAATTAATTCAGATTTTTTTCAAGCCTTTTTTTTTGGAAAAAAACAATTTCCATATTATGCTAGTTAGTTTGCTAGTTTGTTAGATGTTTTCTACACCATAAGATACAAATTGGTGATTTTTTCAACAGAGAGCTATACAGGATGTGCCAGAACTCGCTCCCCAGAGAAAAATTTCAAGTCAGATGAGATCCCAAGAACATGGGAAAAAATTTGAGATTTATTTTTTGACATTTGACGTTTTTTACGTCTATTTAAGGATACTGATGATCTTGTATACAGGGTGTTTCAATGAAAACGAGCCACTCCGAATATTTCAGAAACTAAAAAGACTTTGTAAAAACGCAGAAACAGGTCGATTTTGTTTCCGAGGGGGACATTTTTTGACGTAAGCACCCCCACGCACCCCAACTTTAAAAATTTAAATGGCACTACCCTACTTCTAGCACATCAAATGAAAGCTATTTTAGCAAGGTTTTCAAAACTTTTTACCAAAATTGAATCAGACTATCCATTCATGAGATACAGGGTGTTCTAATAGAAACAAACCATCTTAGAAAAAAATTGCAAAAAAAACCCGAAACAGGTTAATTTTGTTTTTAAAAGGACCATTTTTTGACGCAATTTTAATAGCACCTTCACTAACCTTTTAACCTCTATGCCACTTAACTCTAAAATGTCAAATAGCACCAACCACTAGTGATATAAAAAATGAAAACACTTTTAAAATGCTTTTTAAAAGTTTTTTTCCAAAATGAAATGATTTTTATACATTCATAAAGTATGGGCAAAACACTAATCTTACAGCAGTCAGTATGTACAAAGGGACTTACTCGTAAGAACTATATTGCTATTTTTAAGATACTTCCATTAAATTATAAGAAACGTTATTACCCCCTGTCCTTTAGTCCGATTATTTTGACAATAAAATATAGAAATAAAAATAAGTTTGTTACAGCTTCAATAATACTTATAACAATATTAGTATGTTTCTTGTAATTTTTTTAATAGTTTTAATTAGAAGTAATTACTAATTAGAAACATTATTTTTTGCGAATATCTTATGAATAGATAATCCCATTCAACTTCAGAAAAGAGGTTCAGATAACATTTTAAAAACACTTTTATTTGATCTATCGCAAGTGAGTCGGTGTCATTTGAAACTTCGAAATTGAGGTGGGTAAAATTAAAGGGTTAGTGGGGGTGCTTTTAAAACTGTGTCAAAAAATGTCTTTTTTCAAAAACATAATTAACTTGTTTCGTTTTTTTGCAAATTCTTTCTAGTTCGTTTATATTAGAACACTCTGTATCTCATAAATGGATGGTCTGATTCAATTTTGGTAAAATGTTTTAAAAAGTTTGCTAAAATAGCTTTCATTTGATGTGCCACCAGTAGGATAGTGCTATTTAAATTTTTAAAGTTTAAATAGAAATAAATAGAGTCAAAGTGCAAAATTTAAATTATGATAACTTCGAAATTTTTATAGATAAATTTTTTTAAACATTTTTTCCATATTCCTCGTATCTTACCTTATTTTTCTCTGGGGGAGTTCTGGCGCACTCTGTATATCTCGTGAAAAAAGGCTCAAACAATTTTTTGTCATGGGAACTTTTAACTCAGTTGGATGTTCTTTATCACTATCTAAGATATGGTCCGACACTTTCGAATTTGTAGTTTTTTTATTTTTAGAATAGCATGATTAAAAGTGTTATTTCTAGATTATTCATGCGAATATAATCTTGTGTGGCTTAAAGAAGAGTCCGTTTATGAGGAAACGATAAATGTCGTAAGTGCTTGAAGTTCCTTTCTTAATGATACAAATTTAATTCGCATTCAGTCACATAATATCAATTATTAATAGTTATGTATGACCACAGGTTTCAGGTAAGCATGAAACAACTTTGACCGATTTGAACTTTGGTATAAACTATACAATCGAAATTATGGCAAAGTCTGAAACCTCCCTACAGGAAAGTGTAAAGAAATCGCTCACTTTTCTAACCCCTTCTTGTTTGGAAACATTCCATACTTTGGATAAATGCAGTGAGTTGGTTTTTCATTAAAATGTTTTAACGAAATATACCTTAATTGGCTGTTTACTTGATCTTTCTTGATATTTCTGCAATTATGTAATATTAAATTTATCAGTGAAATCATGATTTGTTTTCGAAAAAATGAGGTTTTTAGGTCCTGAAGCCCCACAGAATTTGGTAATTAATGAAAGTATCATCGATTTATCCCAGGAAACATACAACGTTCACTTGATTTGGTCAAAACCAGATTTAATACCTGATTACTACATCGCTCATTTTATTAACATAGATCCGAAGAATCATAACAAAACTGAACATTTTTTAAACATAACTGGAGTAAGTGCATTTTATGGTTCAATCTGGAATTTATTTCTCTTTATGTAGGACAAAACAAATGCGATTTTTGAGCACATGAAATTAGCCCCTTTGTATCACATCTCCCTTATGGCTTGCTCTTCGGCGGGCTGTAGTCAAAAAGTGGCCGAGGAGCGACACAAAACTGATACAAATATCACAACAGTCACTTCGGAGCAACACTGGGGGATTTTGGTCTTAATTGTTGCACCTTTGATAGCCACTTTGATTGTGACAGTGACTGTTAATTATTATCGACATAAACAGAAGCGTCGAGATGAGAGAGAGCGTTACTTCAAAGTACTGCTAGGCGAAAAAATCTAATTGTGTTTTTAATTATATCGTATCGCAGGGACTTGATGAAGAGAAATTTCCAGAATCAAGGGATAATATTGAAATTGATATGATTAAACCCGACATATGTGATCAGTGGGAACTTGATCCTCTTAAACTTTCCTTCCAAAGTGTCATCGGGGAGGGAGCTTTCGGGATAGTTCGGCGAGCTTTCGTAGAGATGAAAGATGGTAATAAGACACAAGTTGCAGTGAAGATGTTGAAAGGTTTATTGTGTGTGACATTAAGAAGATGAGTTGATGGTTGTGTTGCAGAATCACCCACTTCGGAAGAAATAAGACAGTTTACTCAAGAAATCAATATAATGAAGTCGGTTAGACAACATCCATATATTGTTTCCTTGATCGGTTGTGTAACTAAAGGACGAATTGAAGGTCCACTTCTTGTGGTCGAATATTGCTCCAGAGGGGACTTACAGACTTATTTAAGAACAGCGTGGGACAAATTTATCAATATGTAAATGACAAAAAACACGTAAAATACATTTTTTCGAATCAATTTCAGGCAACAGCAGTTTGCATACATAGATGAAAGTTCCAACAGTTCAAATTATTTCGCAAACAAAATTTACGACTTTCAAAATATGAACTTTGAGGATGATTTCGTAATCCAGCCTAAGCATCTTTTGTCAATAGCGCGCCAAGTCGCACTCGGAATGGTATGAAATAATTTAATTTATTTACACTATCGGACAAAAGTAAAGCAACTTTTGTGGTAAAATTAAATATTATAAGAATTTAAAACCCAAACAGTAATCCCGGAATTTAAAACCTTATAGTAGGTTGGTGTCATAAACAAAACGAGATTATTTTCAAATGTCAAATAAGTTAGTTTGCAATAATTTATGTAAACAACACTCTTTATTAGCGCGACAAAAATAAAGCAACTTTTTACATATTTTCGGGTTAATTAAGTTTATTCGCAAACTTTTTAAATACATAAATATGCCATATGGGAAACCAATATGCTTAGAGTTAAAAAAATGGTAGTGAATCTCTTTTTGGAGGGAAAGTGTGTGACTACTAGTCATTTCCAGGCAATTTTCTTACCCAAATACAGGTGTTCTGTCTAAACCCCACATTAGAAGTATTAGAAGTTAATAATCGTATTTATTTGAAAATTGGTACAGTTACGGAATTAAAGTATTAAAGTATTGTCATTTTCATAATGTAAACTCTAAAGCAACCTTTACATTAATAACCTCATTTTTTAGTCTTGTCATATTTATGTCATTTTGATTTAAAAAATAGCGTCACTGACAGAAAAGTTTAATTGTCAAATGTCAGTCATGATGACAGTAAAAGGTAGTTTGCAGTGAACTTTATAAAGTGACAGAAAAATACTGCCCGAAATTTTAATTCCGTAACTGTACATAATCATAATCCATTAAGTCCTCCTAAATGAAAATATTTTCAAGATGGCGGCACTTCCGTTTATACCGGAAGTCGGTCTCAACTTTCTTATTTTAAATGGAAAGCTATATTTTTATTGCGTTTTTGGATTAATCGAGTTAATTTAAAGAAGTTTTCATTAGCTTTCCCTATACCTAAATTTGGCCATTTTGAAATATTTTGAGTTTTTCAAAACTTTTTGGATCTGCACCTTCCAATTTAAAAATTTTGGATTCGTTTTTTTGACGTTTGAAAGAGAAGGCTTAGATCTTTCTTCTTTTGAAAAAAAAAAAAATATAAAAAACGCCAAAATTTTAAGGTTACTTTTGTAATAATTTAAACATCCATAACTCAATTTTTCCAAATAAAATACCCCAATTTTTATTTTACTAAGTGGAAGAGAATTTAATTCTGCATCGATCTGTACCAACATTTCCTATACCTAAATTTTATAATTTTCAAGTTATGGTTACTTTTTTTTAAATTTTGTTAATCAATTACTACAACACAAAATTTAATTTCATCCATGCTGCGTCAATGTCAAAAAGTAATAGCAAATAACACTACACAACAATTTTTATTTAATGTGATTGATCTATTGACACGTGTGTCAGGGTACATTAACTTCCCTAATTACGAATTTGATAAGAAAAATTCTCCATCAGGTACAGATTTTAAGTTACAGGAAAATAGTTTTCTCAAATTTTATCGTAAAAATTGTTCATTTCAAATAAAAATTAATTAAATAAACGACGAAAGAAATTAATTTATTCACTAAACAAGAACAATGTTGAAAGATGTATTAGATCCTAACATAAATCTGTTGTAGATGAGTTTTTTGCAAAAGCTGACTTTCTTTTGTAGGTTGTTTTAACTTCCCTTATCAGGAACCAGCAGTAATCCCCCACCCCATCTCCTTTGGTACCTCTTTTCCATCGTCAATATATCCTCGTGGAACCTTTCCCCTTGCTCGTCACTAACGGCACCCAAATTTGAAGGAAAAAATTTTTAATGAGAATAGAGAAAATGAATTTTAAGAGTTTCGTTTTTAGGCGATTTTGTCGAACACACTTACATATGATATCTTAAAACGCCTAACTTTAAAATTTGACGTGCTATGGAATTTTTTTTATCATTTTTGAGTTTTAGCACATAATTGAACAAAACTGTTTTCTTCTCAGTCACAAAATGCTTGTTGGTTAGTGTAATGGTTATCCTATTAATTACTAAGTTAATAGTTTCATAATTGTTGAATTCGTTTTTGTTAAGTAATTTTTTGTTGTTGTTGCTTTACTTTTGTCGCATATAATTTTGCTATGTTTCAATAAGTACATAAAAGGTGAATAAAAAGTATAGAACCAAACGTTTTTGGTTGAACAGTTTATTTTTTGAAAAAACTAATTTATGAGTGATAAAGTACTATAAAAATGTGTTGATTTAACAAGAATAAAATTTTTCGAAATTTCCTTTTGTTTTTGAGTTCTACAAAAAACTTATTTTTTTTGGCAACCCACTATTAAATGATTTTTCTCATAAAAGCTATACTCTAAGGATTATAACTATCTGCTTTATATTTAATTTTTAAAAAAAAAATTTTCACATAAATTGCAATTTTGACAAAAAAAAATCGCATAACTCAAAAACAAAACAAAATTTCGTTCTGAAAATACGATCACATTTTTTATATTATCTTATCTTATATTAATTATTATTTTCTGGAGGTAAATGATTAAAAATAAAACCGCTTGGTTCCATACTTTATATTCTCTCTGTATAACACTAGAAAACCTAAATGATATACAGGGTGTTTACAGTCTTGGAGTTGAAAATTGACCTAGTAATAGAAGAGTACAGAAACACTGTAACCGAGAAAAAAACTCACACAATTGTTATTATCAAGAATGTTATTGAACTCCAAAATGTTGTTACACGGTTTGAGGGTCACTGGAATTATTTCCTTGTTCAGATAAAATTGTATTGTTGCAACAGATAAAAAATCGTATCCATGACAATGAAAGAGAAAAGTCACTTCATAGTTTTGACACTGTCATCATTTGATTTGCTTTTGCTTTAGTTTTTATCAAAATTCGAAGATTTTCTGTTTAATCTCTTTCAGCGAATGGTTTCCAATAGGTTTGATTCGTTCTTAATTTTTCTCCAAATTTATAAAAATGTAGGTATGGCAAAATATTAAAATAATAAATTGGTTGTCGTGATTATGATTTACGGTGAAACACAAGATAATGATACTAATGACCATTGTTGCAGCCGAAGCAGCAGTTCTCAAACAAATAGTATAAAATGAATAATTTCCTTTAACAACGTGAATTTTTGTTTTATATAGCGTATTAGTTTTCTTCTACCGTGAACATCATCTCATTTAAATTTCAACCTTAAGACCGTAAACACCCTGTATAAAATAAAATAAAAATATTTCTTTTACATTTTACTTACAATACCAAAGCAAAAAGAAATACATTTCGTCAGATACTAGAAGGAACTATAAAGATTTTTTTTTAAGAAGTTGCTTTACTTTTGTCCGATAGTGTAATTATTTTTGTTTTATGGTTAACCTTCAGGAACACCTCGCCAAAACTCGGGTCGTGCATCGCGATTTGGCTGCACGTAACGTTTTAGTTTGCGAAAATCACACTGTGAAAGTATCCGATTTTGGTCTGAGTCGCGACGTTTATCAGGACAACGTTTACTGCAAAAACGGCGGAGGGAAACTACCGGTTAGATGGATGGCTCTAGAATCCCTAACTCATCAGAGGTACACCACGTATAGTGACGTCTGGTCCTTCGGAATCCTACTATGGGAGATAGTAACACTCGGAGGAACACCTTACGTGGGTGTACACTCTTCTGAATTGTTGGATTTTCTTAAGAGTGGAAATCGGTTGGCGCGGCCGTCGAATTGCAGCCCAGACTTGTGAGTAATTTTATTTCACAGGGCGACAAAAAAAAGTAATGTCGTGACAACTTGATAAATTTCATATCATTTTGTTCGTCTCAGTGAGACAAATCACTAAAAACTAAAAAAAAATTCAAAAAGTCTACACACTTTGAACCAAATATTTTTTTTCTAATTTCAATGAATTTAAAATACTTTAACTTTAAAAAATCATTACTCAATAACTATTAGGCCGATTTCCTTTAAATAAAGACCATTCTAAAGGGATGGACTTGCCCTTTAGAATGACATGCAATTTGAAATTGAATATTGGCAAACTTATTTAATAATAGCTTGTTAATAACCACCTGGCTTTTTTAAATTTCTTAAAATACTTGACTTTAATAACAACTACATCAAAAACTATTAAAACATTTCAAGTATTTTAGACAAAAAGAAAGTAAGTAATCCGGCCCTGTTAAAAACTGACCTGTTTCAGGGTCCGGGTGGGTTCCACTAATTTATGATTTGTTTACCCTCTGGTTTACTCTTAACAATACCGCATTTAACTTAAAAGTAATAAAATTTTTAGTAGGTCTTAGGAAAACGATTTTACTATATTTGGTTAGTAGTGGCAGCCCGTGGGCCCGCAAACCGGGGAGGCAATCATAATACGAGGAGAACTCTACTTAGCCAAAAAAATATAGATTCATAATGATTAGAAAAATTATGTATGAACATAAAAAAAACAGTTTTGTGTTTCCAAAAAACAAGTATTACAAATACGTATCTATAATTTTGATTAAGAGTTTCGTTTTTATTATCTTAGTCAAAATAACTCGTCAGCTGTAACGTCATAAAAGCCAAGAAATCTCTCAATTATTTTACCTTTCATAATATATCGAAAATTACAATAACACAGGGCGACAAAAAAAGTCATGTCGTGACAATTTGACAAATTTTATATCATTTTGTTCGTCTCAGTGAGACAAATCAAATGCACAAAAAAAATTAAGTCCACACACTTTAAACAAAATAATTTTTTTCTAATTTAAATGAATTTAAAATTCTTTAACTTTAAAAAATCATTACTCAATAACTATTAGGCCGATTTCCTTCAAATAAAGACCATTCTAAAGGGATAGCTTTGTCCTTTAGGATGATATGAAATTTGAAATTGAATATTGACAAACAGTGAATATTCGAACAGTGTTTGAAGAAGTTCGAAGTATATCGAAGTAATCTAAGAAAAACCCTACGAGTAATTTTTTTCTCATCATTACCATCGTGTAGAGCATCTCTTTATTAGTTGTAATCCAAATTTTCAAAAGAATATACCGAGTAGTTTTCTCTACGATTAGCTTCAGTTAAAGCATTTGCTGAGAACATTTTCAAAAAAATGTTCAGAAAGCTAGAACAAAGTGAACAAGTTGGAATCTAAATGGAAAGTGATTTAATTTGAAAAAGATTTGATCTTATATTTAAAACTACTGCTTTAAACTTCTAGATCCTTTTTGCTCAATGATCAGTGATCATTTTTAGAACAAAAAAAAAACTCTTTATTTGCTTTAATTAGTACGCAGACACTCTTTGTTTGTTTTAAGTAAAAAAACAGTTTTTCTATATTCTATTTAGAACAAAGAAAGTGCAATTTACCATTTTTAAGCAAAAGAAGAGTCTTAAAACAAATACTTAAAAAAAATGCAATTTGAAGTAAGATTATCATGCATTTCTCTTATATGGCGCAATACATGAACAGCAAATCTTAACTTCAAAAAATCATATCTTGAAAACTACTCAGTATATTATTTTAAAAATTTGGATTCTTACTAATAAAAAGATGCTCTAGACGATTTTTTTTAGATTACTTCGATTCACTTCGAATTTTTTCGAACACGGTTCGAAGAAAAATTTACCAATATTCAATTTCAAATTTTATATCATTCTAAAGGACAAGTCCATCCCTTTAGAATGGTTTTTATTTGAAGGAAATCGGCCTAATAGTTATTGAGTAATGATTTTTTAAAGTTAAAGAATTTTAAATTCATTTAAATTAGAAAAAAATTATTTAGTTCAAAGTGTGTGGACTTTTTGAAATTTTTTTTAGTGCATTTGATTGAACAAATTGATATAAAATTTGTCAAGTTGTCACGACATGACTTTTTTTTGTCGCCCTGTGTTATCTTGCGCGTTTGTATTTTGTGATTTTTTGTTCAAGGTATGCCGTAATGTTGAGTTGTTGGAGAGAAAGCCCGAAAAATAGACCGACTTTTACCGAGTTGTGCAGATCTTTGGAAGGTTTGTTAGAAAATGTGTCCCAATATCTCAAAATTGAAAATGTCGACCAGACCTACAAAAAAGCGGTTCCTATTAAAATAAACCAAAAGACGTGTTCTACTGAACGGTATGTTACACCTGTCAATACTCTCATCAGAGGTATTAGCAATTAAGTGCGGTTTTGTGGTTGAACCGAGTTTGAACTGTAAATAAGTTTCTTTTTATATAAATGTACCTGTCTCCAAAGTTCAATTATTTTGTGATCGAATGTTTTTTTACGTAATTAGTATTTAGGACAAAATGTGACTGACGTAATATAGCTGTGAGTTAAAGTAGTTTCAAATGCTTTCAACACCATTTTGTACACATTGTGCATATTTTTGTATTATGTTCAACGTGAATATATCTTTAATAAATGTTTTATAATAAACTGTCTTAGTTTATATTTTATATACCTGCTCTTGGAAACAACTGTTTTGGACTATGAAATTTCTTGAATAAAGAAACATTCAAAAAGAATTTTCTCTGGTAGTTTGAAACTAATTACTAAGGCTCGGATTATATGCACGAAAAATCCGTAAAATATGCGCTATAACTCGCGACCCAGAGAAAAATGCCATATAAGATAAGATAACAGGAACATAGAAAAAATATTTAAAAAATTTTATCTATAAAAATTTCGAAGTTATGAAAATATAAAAATAATTTTTCAAGTTTTTTGTGCCACAGGCTATTTAGAAGAAGAAACAAGGAAGCTGTATCCTAAATTGAAACTCTGTTTAAACTTATTTGTGGCTTTTATTGGCAAAATTTGTGTACCTTTACTAAATAATTATAAAAAAAATCATCTAGAAGAAGATGATCAGTACCTATCATTAAATAGACATAAAAAATGTCAAATGTTAAAAAATAAATGTTAAAATTTTTTCGTAGATAGAATTTTTTAAACAATTTTTCCATGTTCCTGGTATCTTAACTTACTTGAAATTTTTCTGTTAGGCACGAGTTCTGACACCCTGTATATGCTCGTATTTTGACAAAAAAAATGCACAAAATATGAAGAAATATGCTCGGATATATGCCAAATATGCATCGATATGCAAAACTTTTAACAATAAAAAATCAAAGTTGGAATAAATTTTTATCCTCGAGTACACTAAAGTTTGTATTTTCATCATCTTGAACCGCACACGATGAACGAAAGAGAATAAATAAATTGGTTTTACCTCAGACAAGCCATTTTAATAACCTAGTAATTAAGCCTTTCTAAGAAACCTGTACTTTTCAGATTACATCAATTTAAACAATTTTGCTAAAATTCATTTGCAGGCAACTACTTATTCATATAGAAGGATTTATTCGTTTTATACTAGGTGAATAAAAAGTTTGGACCCAAACATTTTTTGATTAAACTATTTACTTTTTAAAAAACTAATTGATGAATTAAATGTTTTATCAAGAATAACATTTTTAGATTTTTTGAGTTCTACAAAAATTTTAATTTTTCTAAATGGCAACCCACTAAAAAATGTTTTGTATACTCTCCCAAAAACAACTGTGTTAGAGACTATCTATTTTTTATTAATTAAAAGAAAATTACATAAATTACAATTTTGACAAAAATCGCATAACTCAAAGCAAAACAAAATTTCGTTTTGAAAATACGATCAGATTTTTTATATTACTTTATTTTATATTAATTATTATTTTATTTTATATTAATTATTATTTTCTAGAGACAAATAATTAAAAAAAACCCGTTTGGTTCTAAACTTCATATTCACCCTGTATAAAACGAATATAAAAAGAAAACTCAGCAATATACTAATTCTTTGAGTCCGGCTTACGAATTACTGGTGGTTTTCTCTTTAATATATTTTGTAATCGGATCATTTTTCTTAAACTGGCCAATTATTAACTTGAACTGAAATTTTTAACCGGAAATTTGTGATTTCAAGAAAATATGCACAAAGTTGCGAAAATATGCATTTTTTTTGGCTTATTTTAATCAAAAAACATTAGAAATGCATAGAAAACGTACAATTTTGTTGATATACCTCTTAATAACAAATATGCATTTTGCATATAATCCGAGCCTTTCTAATTACTAATTCCGTTATATTTGGAAGTTTTAGCCATTCCTCAGAAAACTAAATTTGATTATTTTACTTAATTCTAAATTAGTTTTGAAAGGTTTGAGATCTGGAAGTTACAACTTTTTTTTTACGGTCGATCTCTGTGAGTTGTGTTGAAATTAAATGAATCGAAATGAGTCATATGATAGAAAATATAATGTATTTGTTAAGCATAAATTAATACCTTTAGTAAAGCATACAAAGTACCTAAACTTATCCTTAAACATTTACATTTTTTACATAAATTACACTAAGTTTATCAAACATTAAGTCTATTGCTTTTAAAGTTAGGAATGTATTTACACTTAATACTCAATCCTGAAGTTCTGTAAATATCACCCTGTAGATCACTAGAGTCCGTCCTGTTTTAAGGCGGTATCTTCTTTATCGACAGGAGGAGGTTGAAACGCAACTTTAGTACTCGAACCTTGAGTTAAATAACCCGCGGCAGTTGGTGTTCCAGCTAAAAATTCCACTATTCAACTACTCTCACCAACTGAAAAAACTCACCAGTCAAGTAACCAGAAATGGGGGTACTTGATATAAACAAATCATGTTTTTGATCCTTGTACTCGGCCCAAATGGTACTCTTATCGAGAATGCTTGTAACCCTTTCCCCATACAACAAACTCCGACTCATCGATTTGAGAGCTTTGACAATTTGCGCTTTCGTCATAGCAGGATTATCGATAATTTCGAGCCTTCCTTCTAACAGTGTCAACAGAAATTGGACGAAATCAACGTCCAAAGCTTGCTTAACTAGCTGATCTTGGTTGTTCGAAAAGAGACGATTGAGAGCTTCACAAGCTACTGCTATCATGTCTTTGCGCACTTGCATTGCCTGTTTTAGAGGATGCATGCAATCTGTTTGTGCTATCGCAGCCACACAAATCTATTAAATTCATTTTTTTATCAAAGTATAAAACAAACAAAAAAAGCACTTACACTGCTACTTGAAAGTGCATTCAAGATGAGTATAGCAGATTTAGGAACAATAGTTTGCCTTACGTTTGAACCCATTTGTCTACAAAGGCGCGGAATGTGGCCCATGGATGGGATCAGATCCAAAAGGGCTGGTTGTGCTTGCAATAACGAACAGAGAGCGGTTGTCCCCATTTCTAATAATTCGGTCTAGAAAAACTCTTTTAATAGCCCAGTCAAATTAAACAAATCGGTGGAAAAAAATCCTAGAGAGTTGGAATTTTTTAAACGCTTTCTTTATACTTGCGTAGACATACAGGCTGTCCCAACGGTCTGAAAAAGCTCTATAACTTGTTTATATTAGGAGATACTAACTTTTTCTTTTTTTAAGATTATAGTTGCGTTTCTGCTGCACATTTTAAAAATATTGCGGTTTATATATAGGTGTCCCAATATTAAAAAAAACACTAAAGTTATGTTTTTTTGAATGGAATCTACTCAGTTTGATTTTATTTTTGGATTCTACGCTAAATTACAAATAACTTTTATACAGGTTGTTTTCATTTATCTTTTATCAATTTTGATTTGTGGCGCTTTTTTACCAGAATTTTTGAAATGCAAGGGTCTGTCTAAAAATTCGTACCTTCTAAATGCTTGCACACAAGTTTAAAGTAAGTAACGCCGTTTGATTTCTGAATGTTTGCCGCATTTTTTAAGTTTTTACTCAACAACCTGCTCAGTGGCATGTGCCTACTGCGATTTTTTAAACATGACAAATTAAAAATGTCAAAAACTAATTTTTTTTCAAATGTCAGTCTCTATTTATTATTGTACCAATCAAAAGATCTTTTGACAAGCTTTCCATCAATATAAGGTTTGTATAGTCTAGTGTAAAATTCTAGGTTGCTATCCTAAATTAACTAAATTTCGAAAAACTTTTCTGTTTTGGACAATAAAAATCGAGTGAGCTTCTGTCATTGTTGCGATCTGTCAATTTTATTGGGAAGATTATAAGTCCCAAAATGAATTTTACTCGTCAAGAACTCATTAACATGGTATACAGTCTTGGTGAAGCGGATCGTAATATTTTATTGGCTAAAAGACTCTACAAATAAAAATACCCAAATGCAAAACTGCTGCAAAGTGCTGCATTTAAAAAATTGTATAAAAATGTATATAAACTGAGACCAACAACTGCGGAGGATATGAAACAAAGAATACGCGATACATTCCATTTAATAAATGCAGATATGCTAAGTCGTGTTAGACTATCTTTTAGACGAAGACTGCATGTATTGAAAAAAATGGTAATATTTTTGAGCATCTGTTATAAAGAAAATTGTAAAATAGATTTAATGTTTTGTTTTTATTTGTTAATGTTTTTACATTTTTCTACTAAATTGTGTTAATACTGCTTTGCGATATGTTAGATTTTGCCTAATTTTCTCTGTAACGCAATTGTGCACAATATTGTACATTTTCTTGCAGCAAAGAATTTCCAATTCCATACTTTTGTTTATTTCCTGTGCTAATTTTTTTTGTGCATAAGACCCAATCGATTTTTATTGTTCAAAACAGAAAAGTTTTTCGAAATTTAGTTAATTTAAGATAGCAACTTAGAATTTTACACTAGACTATACAAACCTTATATTGATGGAAAGCTTGTCAAAAGATCTTTTGATTGCTACAATAATAAATAGAAGGTGCCATTTGAGAAAAATGAGTTTTTGACATTTTTAATTTGTCATGTTTAAAAAATCGCAGTAGGCAGGCACATGCCACTGAGCAGGTTGTTGAATAAACACTTAAAAGATGCGGCAAACATTCAGGAATCAAACGACGTTACTCACTTTAACTAGTGTGCAAGCATTTAGAAGGTACGAATTTTTAGACAGATCCCTGCATTTCAAAAATTCTGGTCAAAAAAGCGTCACAAATCATAGTTGATAACAGATAAATGAAAACAACCTGTATAAAAGTTATTTGTAATTTAGCGTAGAATCCAAAAATAAAATCAAACTGAGTAGATTCCATTTAACAAAAACTAACTCTAGTGTTTTTTTTAATATTGGGACAACCTGTATATAAACCGCAATATTTTTAAAATATCAGAAATGCAACTATAATCGAAAAAAAAAGAAAAAGTTAGTATCTCCTAACATAAACAAGTTATAGAGCTTTTTCGGACCGTTGGGACAGCCTGTATGTCTACCCAAGTGTAAAGAAAGCGTTTAAAAAAAATTCCAACTTTCTAGGATTTTTTTCCACCGATCGCCCTATTTTTGTCTAATTTGACTGGGCTATAAAACAAGGTTGGCTACAAATGAAAATTTACATTGGGTTTGTCTTTGGTCATCAGAGTCAAACAAGTTTCCATAAGTTCCGATAAAAATTCTTTTGGTTTTCTCAACGTCCAAGCGGGATTTGCAATAAATATCCTTAAATAAACTCCACCAACGATGAACTCATTTGGTGTGGCAAAGTTGGTAAGCCCGTTAATGTCGGGCATTTTCCAAAGAGCGGCCGGATTAGTACTTTGCACGGTTTGATGTCTAAAAAAATTATTAAACATATTTTATAAACTGTAAAAAAAACTAACTCTCTTCTTAGTCGAGCCACCGTCGTACAGACCCGATCTTTGGCCTCTTGATCCCAAATTAACTCAGGGTGTTCGTGGGCCGATTCAAACATATTCACGGACGCTTCCGGACTATCTCGCATCGCATCGGCAAAAATCGGTGGTAAGAAACTCCCCAAACATAACCGAACTTTTGGTCCAACGAGCTTATCCGAACTCATTCGAGCCAACAACTCGGCACAAGTGAGGCGTATTTGCGAATTGGTGGAATTACAAAAGAGGTCCAAGAGATAAATAACGGCACCTTTACTTAACGCCTCCTTGACGATTTTAGTCGTCGACATTAACGCATATAAAGTGTCCAAAATTTGGGGCTGCGAATCTTGAATCGTGTATAAGACTAGTAATAAATATCCCAACACTTCAGTAGCGGCAATATCATTGATACACTCGTTATTTCTAGTAACTACTGATATCACATTGAGTGCACCTTTTTGGATAGGGCTGTGGGAGACGTTAAGTAAGCTGAAGAGTAATCGGAAATGACCGATGCATTGCAATTCGACACCTGTATTGTTCCGTATCACATTTGTTAAAGCTTCCAAAGTCATCACAGAATATTTTAGTCTATCTTCTATTGTAACGGAATATGCTATGTTGACCAAATTTAACAAATACTCGGATTGTTCTGAGAGGAAGTTTAAGAGATCCATTGTGAAATTTTTGGCATTCTGTTGAAAATACTACTAAAATACTGTTAAATAAAACAAGTGACAATCACCTGAATAGGATAGGTCGGTTGCTGGTTATAAATCCTGATAAAAATGTTACCAATTTGTAATTCACCAGAATGTGCAGAGTAGGTAAAGTCGGTTCCTATACTTAAATCTAAATCACCTCTACCACTACGTTGTTTTTCTAGAAAGTCGATAAGTTCAGCTCTGGTACCGTTATCCCAGACTAAATACGGCGTCGAACTGTTGCTATTCAGCGTTTTAAGAATCTATCATAATCATAAATTTAGTTAAAAAGTGAAATTATGTACGAGGGGACTAACAAAAGTTCGCTTAGTTGGCTTCGATTTTTTTTTGACAGATCAATAGTGCCGTTCGATTTGTCATCGTTTTTTAAACTTGTATGCAAATTTTTAAGGCTAAAGGGGAATATGTTTTAGTTTGTTGCTAAAGCGGCAGATGGCGCGGAATTTATATTTCTGTTTTCTCTTTAACTATTCACATTTTTTATAATTGGAAAAAAGTTTCGGAGATAAAATATTACTTGAAAACGTAACACTTTTTTGAAAAAAATATTAAAAACAGGTGTAAAAGAAAATATTTTTGAAGGTCGCAATATGACTCGAATCAAAAATTTGTCAGAGAAAAGTTCAGTTACATTCAAATAAAAAATACAAAAGTGGAACAGAAAGTAATAAATAAATGTGATAGCTTTTTTAAAAGTAAAAAAATGGAAATTAATAAAACCCAATTTTTTTGTATTCTTTTTCTGTTTTCCTTATTTTCATTGACTTACATAGCCTAGGTTCTAGTATTTCTAGTACTAAGGCCTTTTGGTAAAAATATTTTATCTTGGGTAATTTTTTTCTCATAACTTGGGATTCGGAAAAATGCGATCAATAGAAATATTTTGTTCTGCCCATAAAATAAAATCACATTTTTTTTTATTGGTGACCCGTAATTGAGGTGACCTGGTAATAATAATCGTGTTGTTTTTTCAATTTATTGTTTTTGTCTAGACAAAAATGATATCGCTTCTTCGATAGTTTAATTTTTTGCACAAAAAGAACACTGAAAGGAAAAGGAAACCAAAATATTTTCTATATGATAAAATTCTTTGAATTTTGTCTGTGGTATTTGTGAAAATAGAATAATGATAAAGTTGATAGGTTTTGAATAATTAACATTTTAATATTGCAAATTTGAAATTTGGAATAATTTATGGGAGGGTTTGCGGTAATTCGTGATCAGGCAAGAATTTCTTGAGAAAAGAAAAAGTTCCGCAATGACATTTTTGACGTACCCAAGCTCTATTGTCAATGCATTAGCAGCATATCATCCCAAACTTGGCCATAAATTTCCAAAATTCCCATTTTTCAATATTAAAATGTTAATTACCCAAAATCTTCTTCTTCTTGGATCTTCTTGGTATGGAAACGATGAACAAAAACACGATTAGCCCGTCACACCAAACTTTTATTTTAATAGAATAAAAGAGAAGAGAATAAAAACTTTTATTCACACCTGAGGATGACCACTTTGTGGTCGAAACGCGTTGTGCTATTAAAATAAAAGTTTGGTGTGACGGGCTAATCGTGTTTTTGTTTACCCAAAATCTATCAACTTTTACATTATCCAATTTTCATAGTGACCATTAGAAAAAAATCAAGCAATTTTATCATGTGAAAAAGATTCCAATTAATTAATTTTTTTTCCAAATTTGGTTTTTAAAGTCCCACTGACTTACGCTAAAAATTTTGAACGATTTAGAAAAAATCCAATGGAACAGAACGGAAATTTGTTGCTAAAATTGTACGAGAAGAGTGAAGAGTTTGACAAAATAAGAAAAATGCAGGATTTCTCTTTTTCTTTGCGCTAAAATTTTAAAAGAATCTTAAAATAAAAACTCTGAAGTAGAAGTAAGGATTTTCAAAATTCCAAAATACTGATTAATTTATACGTTTGAATTTAGTTGAGTTTAGTTTTAAATTGAGTCAAAAATCTTTTTTGAAGCACGGAAAGTTTGTCAATTAATTAGATTTTCCAAATTTTAAAATTTTAATTGTCTGAAACTTTCGAATTTTTTTGAAAGATGAAATTTTAAATCTAAAATCAGGGTAATTCCGGGAAAGACGGCTCACATTTTGTAAAACTTGCCCTAAAATTGTGATCTTTATTTTCAATTTAAGACAATACTTATAAAAGTAACAAAATAAAAAACACATTCTTTTGATTACATAAGAAATATATTTTGATGTGAAAAATTTCATCTTTTCCACGCTCAGCATGTCATCACAAATAGTTTGTAATATTTTTTTTTTCTTAAAAGTGTTTATAGAATATTTATATAGGGTGATTTTTAAAAAACGGCAGGGACTATAGAATTTTATTCTATCCCTTGTTATTAGGATAAAAGTAGGTTTTATCGAAAAAAAAATAATTCATATAACTAAAGCTATTTTGAAGAAAGAAAATTGCATAACTCAAAAGTAAAATTTTATTTCAAAATAATTTAATTTTTATTACTTATTATTTTTCGAATACATACTCGTAATATTGATAGTAAAAAATGAATAAAACAAAGCAGTTTGTATTAAATTKTTAATTTTTTCGAATTTTTGTTTGATTTTATAGAATTTTGAATATAAAAATTTATTGTAGTTTCTTATTTTCAATTTTCGGTTAGTTTTTCCAGTTTTTTGAGTTCAAATCTACAAAAGGTGAGTTTTCTATTTTCTTCAAATTATTAGGATTTTGTTGTTTTATCTACTTTCTCTATTTCAGCTTTTTAATTCAAATTTTCTACTTTTTCTTTACGTAATTTAGCAAAAATGTAACTAATTTTGTAACTTTTTTGGTAATAGTGCTCCTAAATACACAAAAATATCGTATTTCAGACCTATTTTTTGTTTTCATCTTTTACCCGATAAATAAAAAAATTGACGTTAACAATAATCTTATTAAAAGTAAACAAAATAAATAAATAATAAAAAAATAAGTTAATGATACTAAATTACACTGTTCTTAATTTTTAACTTTGATAGTTTTTTAGTCAATAATTTATAGTAAAACTGAAATTGCACATGTCTGTACCAACAAAACTAATACCTTCCAAATTATGAAAAATCCCAAAATTGTCAGTTTATACTATATACAAACCATTTAATTTAGTTTTTTAATTTTTGGGCCATAAATAAAAATTCTAGAAGGGTTTGTTCCAAAGTGGACGATTTAGAGAAAATCCAATGGAACAGAATTTTGAATTAATTAGAAATATTTATTTTTGGGCCGGCCATAAAGCCTTCGAGGCTATTTTCGAGGCGGTGACTATATTTTCTTTCATTAAACCAATTGTCAGATCCACTTTGTTCCCTAGTAGCGTTTTCAATAAAGTCTCGTTTCTCTTCTGTTACATTCAAACTTGCTACAAAATCTCTAACTTCTTTTTTGAGAATACTTGAATTCAAATCGGGTTGTTTGCAGTTTCTTGGTCGTTTCTAGTAGGTAACGTTTTATTTTTTCTAGCTTTTTTCTAAGAGAAAAAATTCACTTATGCAATATTGTGGCCAATTATTGATTCCCCAAAATCATCATCAACAATGTTGTTATCACCTGCTGAAGCCCTAATCGTGTGATATTCACAGATTTTTTTTATTGTCACATGTCAACTTAATCGCGAATTCAAATATTAGTTTGTAATTAAATTTTGTAAAGCGACCTCAGGATTTTGGTATAAGAGTTTGCCTTATTTAAAAATACGTATTCTTGGGTAGTGGTATCGAATTTCAAAAATAAAAACACTTTTCTTTTCAGTAAAAAATGGTGATTCGTCGCCCTACCCTTGTTTTTTTAAAAATATTTTTTATTATACCTGTTTTCAATATTAAAAAAAAAACAAAAATCAAAAAAGTGTTACATTGGCGAGTTTTCAAATAACATTTAGGTTTTTTTTCATTTTTTTTTTCCAATTATAAAAAATGTGAATAGTTAAAGAGAAAATAGAAATATAAATTCCGCACCATCTGCCGCTTTAGCAACAAACTAAAATATGTTCCCCTTTAGCCTTAAAAATTGTGTTTTCTCTTTTGTAAACAATAAATTAAGCGAATTTTTGTTAGTCCCCTCGTAAAAGTTACTACCTCTTCTGGCTTATCCGTTCCGAGCTGATTGGCTAAGAAACTGGTCAATAGAGTCTCCAAAATCCCTCTTGTTAAATTATTCGGTGGTGGAACACTTTCCCCGGGGAAGTACCCACCCAAAGCGGCACAAGCCTTCACAGCTTCTTTCGCCAACCTATTACTAACTTCCTGTTGATTGGCCTCTTCGCTCCGTTCAACTCCGCCTTCGTCAAGTGTGAAATCATAATCAAACATGAAGAGTAAAAGATGCCACAAGGCGCCCGATTTGATCAATTCTAATTGAAGAATTGAATCGATTGAAAGAGCGCTGACACATTCAGTGGCGATAGAACACAATTTCGTGAGATGCTACAACAAATCTATGAATTCCGAAGTATTAAAACAGAAAACTACTTACTTTGAAGTAGAGGATTCGACACAAGTCTTTAACGAGTTGTTTCAAATCGATCATTTTTTCTCTACATGCCGGGAATTGTGCTGCCACACTAAAACATCTAGTTATGTGTGTGCACACTAGGACTGCAGTATCGGTCGGTTTTGACGATTTGTTTAAAACGCTAACGCATCGAGTGTATGCTTCAAGAAGGACTTCTAGGCCGTTTTCGCGTCGTAATTCTTCGGCGTTTAAGGCCGAACAATGGACTGTGTGATATGCTAATTCGCTAGCAGCGGCAAGTAAGGGGGCACTTTTAGAAAACAGTTGATCGTCGGCTGTTTCCATTTTAATTGTTTTGATCAGTTGTGGATACCCGGCGTATTTATACGGTTGTAATTCTACAAATAATTTAAGATATATCTAATTCTACAGGGTGTTCCGTCTAAACCCCACATTACAAGTATTGGGAGTTGGAATAATCGTATTTATTTGAAAATTAATACATAGTCATAAACGATTAAGTCCTCCTTCCGCTTATACCGGAAGTCGGTCTCAACTTTCTTATTTTAAATGGAAAGGTATTTTTTTACAGCGTTTTTGGATTACGGATTATTTTAAGTTTTCAATAGCTTTCATTTGAAAAAATTGAGTTATGAGTATTTGAGTTATTACAAAAGTAACATTAAAATCTTGGGATATGTTATATTTTTTTCAAAATTTGAAAACACCAGAAAAAGGATCTAAGCTTTCTCTTTCAATCGCCAAAAAAACGAATTCAAAATCTTAAAAAATGGCAGAGTTACCGATTTTTAACATAGAAGGTGCAGATCCAAAAATTTTTGAAAAACTCCAAATATTTCAGAAACGGCTAAATTTAGGTATAGGGAAAACTGATGAAAACTCCCTTAAAATAACCAGATTAATCCAAAAACACAGTAAAAAATATAGCTTTCCATTTAAAATAAGAAAGTTGAGACCGACTTCCGGTATAAGCGGAAGTGCCGCCATCTTGAAAATATTTTCATTTATGAAAACTTAATGGATCATAGCTATGTACCAATTTTCAAACAAATATGATTATTCGAACTCCCAATACTTTTAATGTGGGGCTTAGACGGAACACTCTGTATAATGTTTCAATTTACCTTGAGAATATCTATGAAACAAAATACTTTGAGTTTGCAAGACTAAAACGATGTTATGAGGATTAGGACCATCCGTAGTCCAGCTACTTCTACTACACAAAAACTCGTAAGCTTTATTGACTTCTTCAAAACGTTCCTGATAAAAAAAAGTCACTAATGCGAATAGAATAGTAAGGACTTACCCTTCCTTCTGGATTTTTATCGGGATGAAATTGTTGTGCCAATTTGTAGTAAGCTTTACGGACAACCGCTTCTTCATGGAATGATCCATTCAAACCTAAACTTTTGTAAGCTTCTTCGACTGTCATAACTGGAGGCTTTTTCTCAACTTCGGACCTCCAGGCATCAAGGACATCTTTTAAAAGTTTTACCTGGAAAAAAAATCTGCTGTGAACATCACACGACTTTCCTTATCCTACTTATTTGGAAAACATTCTAACGACAATAATTTAGTGTTGGAGCAAACGTAACCTTGCGTTAGTGTCGGATAGTGCCGCGAAATAGATCATAGTTGTCGCGGGTTCGAGTCGGGTGCAGTTTTTTTTTACCCCGGTACCCATTATTATTATTATTGTTTTATCACATTTTACTGTTTAATAAGGTATATTTCATGATTCTAAATAATTTGTATCCCCATGAATTTATTGTATCTTTAATCGTATAATTTTGCGGCCGCTTACGGCCGAACGGTGCGACCGATTTTTACCAATTGTTTCGTGCTATGTCCCCTTACGACAAGTAACTTACATACCAAATTTCAAGTTTCTAGCTCTTATCGTTTTTGAGATATGCTGTTTACAGACACACATATAAAATGATAAAAAGCGTGTTTCATTTGTGGGGCAAAAGATGTTCGCTTATTTGAAATTCCCAGCAATATGCAACAAAGGCAAAAATGGTTTGAAGCTTTTGAAACGTTTTGCGGTAAGCAAATTTATGCAGACAATGATAAGGACAACCTTTTACTTTGTATTTTGATATTAAAGAAACTATAAAAATTACAGATTACACAACAAACAAACCACTTTGCAGAAAAATATTGAAGTTATAAATTGTTCTAACATACCTCGTGTTATGATTTCATGTTTTTTTGTAATTCTAATTTATTAGTGTTTTGCTAGTCCAGAATGTATCTAAAATAAGCTCGGATATTTTATAGCATTCATTTTAAGGCTTAACTTATCGTTTGCCAATATAGGGAATTTCAATGCATTTTTCGAAAAGGTTTTTCTCGGCTATTATAAGGAATTTTATTTTTTTTATTTGAAACCTTTTTAGATATTTCTAGGGATATTGATATGTAGCTAATTTAAATTCTTATTTTTTATATATTTTAACTTATTTTTTTATAATAAAATTATAGTATTTATATGGAAACTATCAATTCCTTTCTTACATGTACCAAAAACCTTAAGAAAAAAAAATGAAATCGTTCGGATAATTAATAACTGTAAAATCTCTTGTGGAAAATATTATTAACCGGTTTTATCTGATTTATGACCTTACGAGGGATGTTTCGCATCTATAGGGAAACACAACCAAAAATACATGCTGTAAAACTAGGTCATAATTGTTTATTAATAATTAGAATAAAAATCGAAATGTCATTTATAATTCCAAACCTGGTATTTAAGAAAATGAACATTTTAATTAGTTTTTTTTCAAGAATAAATGTAAAAGATGAATTAATTTAATAAGACGATGTATTTACACCAGGTAATTCTATTTTTCACCAAAAATTAAGTCTAATTATTATGCAGGAATGCTAGAAATAACTTGAAAAAATTATGGTAATTTATAATCAAACAATTGAGCAGGTAAATGGTTGACTGAAAGAAAACGGCGCATTACATCTTTTAATTTCGGAAAAATTTTGAAATTGCAAAAATCAACAAATCCCATCAATACTGTAAATAAAAATTTTAATTAAAAATTAAAATTTTTCTATTTCTTGAAAAAATACAACGAGATGATGAGTGCTGGAAAAATGTTGCCTAAATTAGCAACATTTTATTACAATCTCGATTTACAGCTTAAGCTGAAACGTGTTTAAAAAATAGTTGCTCTATGTAAAGTACAGCCGCTTGCAAGAAATGTTGGTCGTCATTGTTTCAATAGAACTCAATTCATTGTGTTAAAAATACCATTGACCAAAATTTATTGCTTACGACTATTCATTAATGTTTTTTGTATTTTAATTTTAAATAAATAATTGTTTTAATTTATGTAATTTTAGTTTTTTTAGTTAGCATTTAAAACCTACATAAAAACATCTTTGAAATATTAAAAATTAACATATTACTATACTTTTATTTATTCAGCGTGAACTAGTGCAGTACAATATGCGGTAACGATAATTATCTCGGTAAAATTTAAAATCATAAAAGAAACCAAAAAAATTAAACATACAACTGCAGTTCAGGATTTACCATTATCTTCTACGATGTTACGGCCTTATAAGCATAGCTTTTTGATTCAGATGGCCTTGACCTAACGAGTCTTCGGTACCCATTATCATTATTATTATTGTTTTATCTCACATTTTACTGTTTAATAAGGTATATTTTGTAATTTTAAATAATTTTTAAATAATTAATTCTTCAACCGTATAACTTTGCGGTCGCTTATGGCCGTCTTTTAGTCTTTGCGGCCGAACGGTGCGACTGATTTTTACTAATTGTTTCGTGCTACGACTTCTTGCGACAAGTAACTTACATACCAAATTTCAAGTTTGTAGCTATTATCTGCTTACAGACACACACACACATTTTAAATTTTAATATAAAAATCTTATGAGTAAAGTTTTTTAAATAAAAAACATTGGAATTTTTTTTTTAAATCACACTTCTTAAAACAAAGACAAACATATACCACAAATCAAGATAATTTGTTATCGAGTCATTTTTGAATCCGAAAACGTACGTATGTCTGTTTTTGAACTAATTGCACATGAAACGTCAAATAAAATGACAAGTCAAAAAGTAAAACGGCGAAATGGGCTGGAATTAGTCGCCGACGTCTAATAATAAGAACGTTTTTTTTTGAAGGTAAATCATAAATTTAGTTATTAAAATCATCATCTTTTGGATCATGCCATTTTACCTTTCGATTTCTACTACCACAGACATACGCACAGGACATACGTTTTTGGATCCAAAGACGACTCGATTACAAATTATCTTGATCCCTCAATACTTATTTAGTTTTTATTTTTACTAATTTAATCATCAATACTAACTCATCAATTGTAACTTTTTTGGGCCACATCTTAGGTATCTAATTAAATTAAATTCGTATCTGTTTGAATAATGAATTTTTCCTACGAAACTAGATCATAACGCACAATTGCATATGCGCGAAAATTGTAAATATCGTTCGAGGTCAAAAACTTGTGCGATTTGTTTTCGCGCTGTGTGTTAGAAATCTAACGCACAATTCACACTCGAATGCTTTGTATTTTTTCATTCAACGTATTTTTTTTTGTATCCATTATAAAAAATAAATTGTTATTCAACGTACTTTTGTATCCATTATAAAAAATAAATCGTTATGAAAAAAAAATTGGTTCGTAAGAAAAAATAGTGTACAAAACTTGCAGGAAAGTGTCTAACGCACTCCCGCTTGTGCGTTATTTTTCACTTTCCGTGCTCGTTATGTAATATACTATTACTAACTTGCTAGGACACCTTATCTAGTGAGCGGCAAAATTATGGAATAATCTTATTAAAACTGAAAATATTTTGTTTTGGCGAAATGCACAAACAGGTCAATTTTCTTTTTAAAAAATACACAAATTTCAACTTGATTTAAAATTTTACACTTTTTGGTTTTTGAGTAATGACGTCATCGCCATTTTTTTAATGAAAATCCCTATATTTTTCTTAGCAAATTTGAATAAAAAAAAATCATTCATACAGTGAAATAATATCAATAAAAAACAAAGATGCAATTTTAAATCAAGTTGAAAATTTTGTATTTTTTTTAATTGACCTGTCCGAGAATTTTTGCCAAAACAAAACATTTTCAGTTTTAATAAATAAGATTATTCCATAATTTTGCCGCTCACTGTATACATATAAAAAAGTAAAAGTTTCATCTTACACCTAACCCTCATCATTCTAAAAAAAATTAGAAAGGCTCCTCCAAATTAATCCCTGAATTCGCCCCTGACACACACACACACACACACACACGACCCAATGGCCCAAACAAACTTTTTTGGTGTCTTGAAGCTATAATTCGTCCAGAAATGTAAAAATATACAGGCTGCGTCCGAGAGAAAAAGGTAAGATACCAGGAACATGGAAAAAATGTCACAAAAAAATTATCTACAAAAATTTCGAAGTTATGAAGTTTGCACTTTGACTTTATTTATTTCGGTTGGAAAAATAATTTTCCAAGTTTTTTTGCTATAGGCTATTAAAAGAGGAAACAAGTAAGCTGTATCCTAAATTGTAACTGTGTTCAATGTTATTTGTGGCTTTTATTGGCAAAATTTTTGTCCTTCTACTAAATAATTGTAAAAAAAACATATACAAGATCATCAGTATCCTTAAATAGATATAAAAAAATGTCAAATGTCAAAAAATAAACGTCCAAATTTTTTGACAACTTGCATTACCATTGCGATTAACCTTTATACTATTTGGGTGAATCAATAATAAAGATAGAATTTTTTAAACATTTTTTTCATGTTCCTGGTATCTTACCTTACTTGAAAATTTTCTCTGGGGCGCGAGTTCTGGCGCACCCTGTAGGTAGGTCAAATTTCAGCCGATTACAATGAAATTTGACCAATGATAAAAACAGAAAAAGACACCACATTTGATACTTACCGGATCCGGAATCGGCCAATCAGGAAACTTGGTAGTATCGCAAAGATGTCGCAAATAGAAAATATTGCAAAATAGTTCCCTCTCCAACTGTGGATACCGAACCGCCGGAATAGGAATATAATGATATCTCGCCATAGTGTGACTCCTCAACCTTGGCGTAAATTCCGCGATATGTCCGGCAATCTTTTCAATCAACATTCGTCTAAAAACACAAATTTAACAAATTTTCCTCTCATCACACTCATCGGCACCTCATTTCCGCACTCCAGATGGCTTCCGGTGTATCGAATTCTCCGAGGAAAATCTGTGCGAACTTTTCCGCGCCATGATTTTCTAAATAATTCACCATGGCCTCGGGTAATAACTGACCTAAAATACTCCGTTGCATTATATCGGACGTCCCCTGAAACCCAAATGATAAACGATCGGTCTTAAAATCAATACATGATCACACCTCATCAGCTTTGAAAGCTTGTTTCATATGTGTCAGCTTCAAAAAACGTGCGATTGGTAGGACATTACTTCCGGTATACATCAAAATAAAATAGAAAACTCCGGTCAAATACACTTTGGACATTTCCGGATTATCTCGCATTATTTCACAAAGAAGAGTTGCAACTTTTTCAACTAAAATCGGGTCGAAAGTGAGCAAAAGTTGAACGATATGTGATAAACTAGTCGCATCGGAAAGCAAACGTTTTACTTTCGGTAATGGCCGAATTATTGCATCGTCCGAATCCCGACTAGGATAATATTCACACATTCTTATCAAAATATTTAAAATACAAGTCGCTAACTCGCTTTCATTCAAAACTGGACTTCCTTTGGCCAAAAGACACCATTTGAGTTGGGGCAATTGCGAAACAGTTTTCCAACTATCCAAACCCATAGCCCAACATCTGGTTCGATGGTTTATCACATTTTTGTTAAACAAGTCTTTGATCTGGAAACAAAAGTGAAACTTTTGATAACACTAGGCGACAAAAAAAAAGTCATGTCGTGACAACTTGACAAATTTTATATCAATTTGTTTTTTTTCTAATTTAAATAAATTTAAAATACTTTATTTTTTAAAAATCCATACTCAATAACTATTAGGCCGATTTCCTTCATTCTAAAGGGATGATCTTGGCCTCTGGAATGATATAAAATTTGAAATTGAATATTGGCAAACTTTTCTTCGAACAGTGTTCGAAGAAGTTCGAAGTAAATCGAAGTAACCTAAGAAAACCATACGAGTAATTTTTTTCTCTTTTTCACCATCATGTAGAGCATCTTTTTAATAAGAATCCAAATTTTTAAAATAACATACCGAGTAGTTTTCAAGATATGATTTTTTTGAAGTTAAGGTTTGCTATTTAGGTATTGCGCCATATAGGAGAAATGCATGTTAATCTTACTTAAAATTGCATTTTTATAAAAGTATTTGTTTTAAGACTCTTTTTTTGCTTAAAAATGGTCAATTACATCTTCTTTGTTCTAATTAGAATAAACAAAAAACTGTTTCTTAACTTAAAACAAACAAAGAGTACCTGCGTACTAATTAAAGCAAATAAAGAGTTTTTTTCTTCTAAAAATGATCACTGATCATTGAGCAAAAAGGATCTAGAAGTTTAAAGCAGTAGCTTTAAATATAAGAACAAATCTTTTTCAAATTAAATGACTTTCCATTCAGATTCTAACTTGCTCACTTTGTTTTAACTTTCTGAACTTTTTTTTGAAAATGTTCTCAGCAAATGCTTTCTCACCACTTTCTACTGATGTTGAATTCAATAAGTGAGTTGCTTCGTGTGCAACTGTTATCACAACAACTTCTATCTACAAGCTAATTGTAGAATGTACAAATAAAATAAATCAGGTGACTTTTTGCATTTAACATCACTCGAAAGTGATGAGAAAGCATTTGCTCAGAACATTTTCAAAAAAAAGTTCAGAAAGCTAGAACAAAGTGAACAAGTCGAAATCTTTGCAAAAACTTGCAAAAGATTTGCCTTTATATTTAAGGCTCGTGCTTTAAACTTCTAGATCCTCTTTGCTCAATGATCAGTGGTCATTTTTACAAAAAAAAAAACTCTTTATTTGCTTTAATTAGTACGCAGGTACTTTTTGTTTGTTTTAAGTAAACAAACAGTTTTTGTATATTGTAATTAGAACAAAGAAGATGCAATTGACCATTTTTAAGCAAAAGAAGAGTCTTAAAACAAATACTTTTATAAAAATGCAATTGTAAGTAAGATTAACATGCATTTCTCCTATATGGAGCAATGCTTGATTAGCAAACCTTAACTTCAAAAAATCATATCTTGAAAACTACTCAGTATGTTCTTTTGAAAATTTGGATTACAAGAGAAGCTCTACACGATGGTAATAATGAAAAAAAATTTACTCGTAGGGTTTTTCTTAGATTATTTCGAAAAGGGCAAGGCCATCCCTTTAGAATGGTCTTTATTTGAAGAAAATCGGCGTAATAGTTACTGAGTAATGATTTTTTAAAGTTAAAGTATTTTAAATTCATTTAAATTAGAAAAAAATTATTTAGTTCAAAGTGTGTGGACTTTTTGAAATTTTTTTTAGTGCATTTGATTTGTCTCACTGAGACGAACAAAATGATATAAAATTTGTCAAGTTGTCACAACATGACTTTTTTGTCGCCTTGTGTAAATGAAAGAAAAGATTAAGTGTACCTCTTGGAAACTGACAGGGCCGTTGCGACCTGTTTCTTCAGTATTGTAATACCACTCTTTTTCTTGAACTGCTTGCATTCCAGGACCGGCTTCAATGACATTAGTTTGGGTCGGAATTACGGCCCTCGAAGTGTGCAAATGTGCCAAAGTCATTAAATCGACAAGAGTGCGTACACCCCCCGATTCTAAAATGTCGCGAACGTTTCGATGATGTAAAATTAATTTGTTTATGAAGAGCACCAAACGATCGCGTTCCATTTTATCGACACACTAATAAATCACCAAAATTTATTTTTGTTTAATTATTAGAAATAAAATAACTCACTCTGTCTAACATTCCGATAATGTATTTGGTGTCACTAAACGGACCGATGTCTTCGAAGTATCTTCCATAGACTATAGACATGGCTTGAAGGCACATGCACTTCATTTCTACTTTGGTCGTAAGCAAAAAGCGGTGATATAAGTCATTGAAAAATTCATACGAGCGTCGGATTGGTGAGTCGTCATTGTGATCGTCCATTTCTAGCAACAGTCGCAAGTAGTAATCACCGATTTTTACTTCATCTGCGAGACATTGGTAATGCAATTCGAATTCTTGGTGATTCCAAGCGACCAAAGCTGAACCCGCCAACTCACGATCGGAGGCAAATGTTCTTACTTCATTGTCTAAGGCACTTCGCAATTCTTCTCTAGTCTAGAATCACAAGTTATTTCGGTGTCATAATAAGCATTTTGTGTAACTAACACTATTTTTGACATTTATGCCAGACTTTTGCTATAATAATTGACTACATACTGTCGTTTTGAAACTAATGCAATTTGAGGTAGTAAATGCTAGTGGGACAATAGTAGTATAGTAGAAAATCAAAAGTGTAAAACAAAATTTAAAGTATGTTTCATATGCCAAGACAACGAAAATCCTATAAGCGCAGACTACGGATACCTAAAGAAAGCATTTGCTCAGAACATTATCAAAAAAAAAGTTCAGAAAGCAAGAACAAAGTGAAGAAGTCGGATTCTGAATGGAAAGTGATTTGATTTGAAAAAGATTTGCCCTTATATTTAAGGCTAATGTCTTAAACTTTTAGATCCTCTTTGCTCAATGATCAGTGGTCATTTTTACAACAAAAAAACTCTTTATTTACTTTAATTAGTATGCAGGTATAGAAAAGTCCAAAGGCCTATAAAAGCCAACCTGCATACCAATTATAGTAAATAAAGAGTTTTGTTTGTTTTAAGTAAAGAAACAGTTTTTGTTTATTCTAATTAGGACAAAGAAGAATTGACCATTTTTAAGCAAAAGAAGAGTTTTAAAACAAATACTTTTTTTTTTATAAAAATGCCATTTTAAGTAAGATTCAAAAAAATCAATCAAATCTTGAAAAATACTCGTAGGGATTTCTTTAGATTATTTCGATTTACGAAATTGTTATGTGTGTCGTTCAAAACTTTTCGTAATCCCATCCTGACTCCGAGAGGATCAAAGCTTCAAATTTCGTAAATTTCTGTGATTTCATAAAACAAATCGCAATAAATTTCGTAATTTCTGTGATTTCATAAAACAAATCGCAATATTATGAAAGCAGTTACCATGGTTCTTAATGTGACGGCCGTTATAATCCTTAATGGACGGAAGCTGTAAAAAATGACTTTTCAGCTGTTATTTCACTTCCGCTAAATTCAAATAACAGTATGGGATTACGAAAATTTTATAAACGGTACACAAGCTAAGATTATAAAATTTAAATAGATTAACGTTTGAATATGTTTCATTACATCAATAAGTAGTCGATAGGTGGAAAAATAATTATTTACGTTATAAGTCCGGTAAGTCAATTATTACAGTACGAATGAAACGAATGTCGAAATAAATACTGTAAGAGGCTTACCGGATGTATATCGTACCTAAAGTTTGTATTTTATTTCAGACTGTTTCAAGAAAACTTGGCAAAAACATAATTTTACGTTTCTGTTAAAAAAAAAAGAATCCGGTAAATGTTACTTAGTTACTTAGACTCAAAATGAGGACAATTTTGACTTGGAGATTTCCGTTTAAAAACAGATTTTACCTTATGATTCCAAATTAGATTAGGGATAGCGTGATCTTGGTTAAATTTCCAGTAAAACAACAGCCAGTTCGCTTCAGCCTTGATCCTTTCCCTTCGCTTCCTCAAAACAATCGGCCTTTCTTTAATTTTTTCCTTCCTTTCGATTATTATACCGACACGAGCCCCCCAATGTTGAAGCGCCAAATTCGTATAATGTTCAACCCGTTTTTCTACATTTTTCAATTGTCTTTCGACGGCAATCCAATTTGGATTTCTTTTACTCTTATTGGCATGATCCTGTGCAATTTTTAAATTATCTCTATGATTTAACAACTCTTGTTCGAGGGCATGTTCGGGTACTTTATCTTCAGAATCCAAAAACGAAATCAAACCGGTGGGCTAAACATAAAAACATTACAACTGTCTTAAATATTAATTAGTAAAGTGAATACCATAATTCTTTTCAATAATCCCATAGCTGTGGGATTCCCCGTCACCCAAAGCCCGACCAAATGACGAGACAATTGACGATGTGTTAACAATCGACCATCGGAACCTTGGGTGTATAGAGCTGCAAGGAGGTGACGAGGCAATGCTCCTTCTGCCAAAGCTAAATTCTGCATTCTTGCTGCCACCTCAGCATCGCCTTCTTCAATAAGAGCACGCATCACTAGACCTGCTCCTTTGACAACGGCCATGGAAGGGTGCTGTGTAAACAACGATGCGTAGTATAGTAAAATCGTTTTCATAAGACCTACTAAAAATTTTATGACACATTATAAGGGATTAACCAAACAATGACTTGAATTTGTAACCCTCCATAAATAGCACGTTCTAGAACTAGAATAACACAGGGCCGTATTTAAAACTAAAGTAGCGGTAGAGTTTACCAAGCTATTATTAAAAACAACAGCTTTATTTAATAATAGCTTGTTAATAACCACCTGGCTTTTTTAAATTTCTTAAAATATTTGACTTTAATATCAACTACATCAAAAACTATTAAAACATTTCAAGTATTTTAGACAAAAAGAAAGTAAGTAATCCGGCCCTGTTAAAAACTGACCTGTTTCAGGGTCCGAGTGGGTTCCACTAATTTATGATTTGTTTACCCTCTGGTTTACTCTTAACAATACCGCATTTAACTTAAAAGTAATAAAATTTTTAGTAGGTCTTAGGAAAACGATTTTACTATATTTGGTTAGTAGTGGCAGCCCGTGGGCCCGCAAACCGGGGAGGCAATCATAATACGAGGAGAACTCTACTTAGCCAAAAAAATATAGATTCATAGTGATTTGAAAAATTATGTATGAACATAAAAAAAAACAAAAAAAAAATAGTTTTGTGTTTCCAAAAAACAAGTATTACAAATACGTATCAATAATTTTGATTAAGAGTTTCGTTTTTATTATCTTAGTCAAAATAACTCGTCAGCTGTGCGACCTACACTAACGTCACAAAAGCCAAGAAATCTCTCAATTACTTTACCTTTCACAATATATCGAAAAATTACAGATAACACAGGGCGACAAAAAAAGGCATGTCGTGACAACTTGACAAATTTTATATCAATTTGTTCAATCAAATGCACTAAAAAAATTTCAAAAAGTCCACACACTTTGGACAAAATATTTTTTTTCTAATTTAAATGAATTTAAAATACTTTAACTTCAAAAATCATTACTCAATAACTCTTACGCCGATTTCCTTCAAATAAAGACCATTCTAAAGGGATGGCCTTGCTCTTTAGAATTTTATAAAATTTGAAATTGAATATTGGCAAACTTTTCTTCGAACAGTGTTCGAAGAAGTTCGAAGTCAATCGAAATAATCTAAGAAAAACCCTACGAGTAAATTTTTTTTATCATTACCATCGTGTAGAGCATCTCTTTATTAGTTGTAATCCAAATTTTCAAAAGAATATACCGAGTAGTTTTCAAGATATGATTTTTTGAAGTTATGGTTTGCTAATCAAGCACTGCTCCATACAGGAGAAATGCATGTTAATCTTACTTAAAATTGCATTTTTATAAAAGTATTTGTTTTAAGACTCTTCTTTTGGTTAAAAATGGTCAATTGCACCTTCTTTGTTCTAATTAGAATAAACAAAAACTGTTTGTTTACTTAAAACAAACAAATAGTACCTGCGTACTAATTAAAGCAAATAAAGAGTTTTTTGTTCTAAACATGATCACTGATCATTGAGCAAAAAGGATCTAGAAGTTTAAAGCAGTGGCTTTAAATATAAGAGCAAATCTTTTTCAAATTATTTTTAAATTATTTTAACTAGAAAAAAATTATTTAGTTCAAAGTGTGTGGACTTTTTGAATTTTTTTCAGTGCATTTGATTTGTCTCACTGAGACGAACAAAATGATATAAAATTTGTCAAGTTGTAACTTTTTGACTTTTTTTTGTCGCCCTATGTTATTGAACAGATACGTATATTAAACTAAATGAAACGTAATGATTTGTAATAAAGAATATTTAAATCATTTGAATCTAATAATGCATTTTTTTAAAATTTGTAGGTACTTTTTGTTTGGGGGAGCAATGCCTCCTCTGCCTCCCCTGAGGAGCCGCCACTGTTGGTTAGCAGCACTTAGCATTTGTCTTACCTGAAATAACCTAAACAACATTCTTCCACGTTCTGACACCATTTCCAAAAGGATGTCGAATTGTTTACCGTCAGTTGTTTCACTGTAGGGGACACAAAGGGCAAAAGTCAGAACGTCAAGCATGGCAGACACGATTAGAGCACCGGTGTTTTGAGTCTAATTATTCAAAAATTTCCATTTTAATAAATTTTGTATAAAATATTTTGAAAATCTTACTATGTGAGTGGTCCACATGTTCAATAAGTTTTCCAAAAAAGCTTTAGTTTGGAGTAGAGACGATTTATTCAATTGTTCTTGTCGTAGATCATAGTCGTCGTGCATTGGGTGCATTAGAGCACAAATCATATCAATAGCAGCGTGAGTTAACCCAAAATCATTCCTTTTTAACGCTGAAACAACTTTATGTCCGATCGCTTCCCTAAAACTATAAAAAATTACTATAAAAACAACAAGAGTTTCAAAGTATAAAACTTGTGTTTCTTCAATTTTTTTCCAACACTAATATTGAATAAAATATTTTACTAATTTTTTTTTTCAAAATTGACAAAATGCGAAGATAAGAGTATTTTATGTACTTATAAAATACGTTGTGATTGACGTCGTACTTTATAGAAGACCGTTTATTAAAAGCAACATAAGAGGTAAGCTTAAATGCACTATAGAAATATACAGGGTGTCCCAGCGAGTTAAAAAAGTCCATTACTGACCTTTAAATGATAAAATTTTAAAAAATACCTAGAGCATTGATAGATACTAATCTAGTCCATCGCCTAAAATTATTTTCAACTATACCGTGTGCGGCATCCGTTACGCCCAGAAAGAAAATCCCCACTTCTAATTAAATAAAATTGTTGAATTTTTTCACACTTATCTGGGCATTAGTAAGGTACATTCTCTAATTTTTTGGTAATTTTTCATTCACAAACAAAGCCAAAATAAAAATAAAAAGTAATTTTCTCACAAAAAGTTTAATTCTAATTTTATACTGACCTACGCAGATTCACTTCCAACAATTGTTTACAAAATTAGAAAAAGAAATACCAATTGGATTTTGAATTAAACGCAATTTTCCATCTTAACTTTGAAAATCATTTTTATTTATGACCTGCTACTTGTTCCATCGTAAATTTAGGTGACAATGGGGAACTGCAATTGGGGTAAGATTCCAAGGTTTACAACAAAAAGATGCTTTAAAGCGGTCGGCTACCAGTAAATGATTCTTTTGTTGGCAAATTATACCATTTTGTCATAAATCACAGGTCTGGTTTGTGTTTAAATAAAAAAGGCGATTATTTGGCTAGCCAAGTCAAAATTTGAAATTGTGATATCAAAGTTTGATGCGCTAACAGGTACAGATTCATTTAGTGTAAAAACTTTATAGGTAAATTAACAGAAAGTATTCATAAAACACACAAAACTGTTACGGACTCATTTATCAAAAAAAAAAAAAAAAATAGAAAAATTCTCAAATTATACCCTATCAATAATTAGTTAGGTATATGAAATATCGTCAGTTTTAATTAATTAGAAGTCGCGATTTATCAATGGGCAATTATAGGACATTGATAGATACTAATCTTCTCTATCGTCTAAAATTATTTTCAACTATACAGCTTGTCTCAAAAACAAGTTACAATACAAACTTGTGTTTTTTTTAAATGAAACACCATATATTTCTTAACGTTTTTTGATGTAGATTTTTATGACAATGTTTTTAAAGCTAAACTTTTATTGGTCGATTTTGTTTAGTTTTGAAAATTTAAAAAAAAAACGTTTTGACGAAAACATGCACTTTTTAAAAATGTATTACACAAAAACTAAGAAACATTTTTTTACTACCATAAAGAAGAAGGAACAAGCTATAAAATTGTAACGTTTTTTTAGTGTGTTACATATGCAGAGATAAAAAAATGAAGGCATTTGTTAAAAATTCAATAACTTCAGAAATTTAAATAGAACACCTTATTTATTGTTTCTGCATTTAAAAGATTATTAAATTGTCTTTCTAAAATTATTTACTTTTAGGTATTTATAATCAATAACTTAAAAGATATTTAACGTTAAACATTAAATAAAATAATTACTATTGTTTCAGTAGCCAAAAAGTGCACAGTTGCACAAGAGATGGAAAAAATATCACTTAATAATCCCATTTGTGTTAAACTGAATTCATTATTCTTTATTTTTACAACAAAATAATTCAAATTTCAGTATTTATAAAGACTTTTACAATCTCTGGATTAATAAACGGATATATGATCCGTGATGGAATTAATATGGTTGCCATGGTATCACAATGCTCAGATATTGATAGGCATTGTTGCTACAATTAATATTGAATGTTAAATATCTTTTCATTTATCAATTCTAGACACTAAAGTTTATTTTTTTAGATAAACAGTTTATCAATCTATTAGATGCAAAAATAAAAATAGGGTGTTCCATTTATATTTTTTAAGTTACTTAACTTTTAACAAACTTCTTCATTTTTTAATCTTTACAAATGCAAAACACTAAAACATTGCTACAGCTATAAATTCTGTACTTTCTTCTCTGCAGAAGTAAGAAAAAATTTGTTCTAGCTGTCTAAGTTTTTGTGTAATAAATTTTTAAAAATTGCATTTGTCAAAAAAAAGTCTTATTTCTAAAACTAGTTTAGCGTAAAAACATTGTTTTAAAAAGCTACATCCAAAAATGCAAAAGGAACATACGGTGTTTCATTAAAAAAACACAAGTTTGTATCGAAAATAATTTTAAGTGATGCACTAGATTAGTGTCTATCAATGTCCTATACAATTTTTTTTTTAATTTTACCATTTAAAGGTCACTAATGCACTTTGTCAACTCGCTGGGACAACCTGTATAATATGTAGTAGATATCGAGCGATTAAGATAATTTGTAATCGAGTTATCCTTGTACAAAAAGTACAATTTGTCGTTTTACCTTTTTTCATTTTACTTGACGTTTCACGTGGAGTTAGTTCAGACATACGTTTTCGGATCCAAAGATGACTCAATTACAATTTTTTTTTATCTCGATATAAGATATAATTATTTTCATATTAATGTGCATCGAAGTAGTCGTTAAAAGGTATCACTTTAGTTAGCAACCATGAGAAAATTTAAACAATTCTAACTTCAGTCTTTCCTAAAAATTATTTTCTCAAATAAATATGTGTACCCTAGTGTTTGAGCCATCAAAAAATAATTAAAATTAACAACGTAATTACTCGTAACATAGAGAGGCAAATATTATTGATGTGATTAAACTTGTTCTGAATGACATTAATGATACTTTTTGTGTGAATTGGCCTTTAAATTAAAATTGTAGAACTCGATCCATTTTGTTCCCAAAGTGTATGTTTTACACAGAGTAAGTAATATTAAAGTTAACTCCACAAATCGATAAATTTTTATTTAGTCAAGTTGAGACATGTTTCGGCACAATTGCGCCATCATCAGCCGTTGAAAATTGTTACACTTTAAAATAAAAAAATTGAAATGTTAACTGTTAAAAAATTTTCCTGATTATAACCAATGGAAAAATATACAGAAGGTCTCCAAAATTTTTCACGGGCGAGGCTTCAGCTTCACTGACCTCGTCCTTTTACTTTTTTACAGAGGAATAATGTATATAATGTATATTTTTCCATTTGTTATAATCAGGAAAAAAATTTAACAGTTAACATTTCAATTTTTTAATCTTGTAATTTTTTTATTTTAAAGTGTAACAATTTTCAACGGTTGATGATGGCGCAAGGGTGCCGAAACATGTCCCAACTTGACTAAATAAAAATTTATCCATTTGTAGAGTTGACTTTAATATTACTTACTCTGTTTAAAACCTTAAATTAAAGATGCATTTAGAGTTCAACAACCTACCTGATGCAAATTAATATGAAAAAGAGAATATTAGTATTGGAAACACCCTGTTGAATTACCCTGGTAAGATGGTAAAGCCTGCATATCCAACCTTGCTCGCAACCAGTCGCCTTAAGGCATGAAACTGTGCTTCAAGTTCAACTGAAGTAATTGTTTTTTGATCACCTTCTTTCTGCACCAGTGATTGAAGAGCACCCGTTATCAGTTTTTCCTTATTTTCGGAAAAAATGCCCTAAAATTCACTTTAATACAAATTATTTCTATTCAAGTCAAACATACATCCTGTGTGATACTATATAACAGCCCGCTATAAGGAACATTAGCATTAAACCTTCTAACACATTCAAAAAAAGTTCGGCGTGGAGGAGGATTTTGCAAAAATTTTACATGTAGACTCTCGGCCTCCTCTTCAACCGGCAAGTGCAAAGGGCCTAATCGTAACCCTCGTTCAGTTGGAATCATAGCAACATGTACGTCTCTATTCCCGGAAGCCCGAACGCCATCTAGGAGTGATGCTAGTAAAGAATCTCTGAAACTCGATTTAAAAAACAAGTTTTATTAAGTTTTGGGGGTTTTACCGATCTGTCGCCGTGTAAGTCCTAACAAGGCCATTAATGTATTCAATATTAAACAATTGAGGATTGTTACTGTCTCTTATTAAAGCAAAAATCTCGCCTAAAGGTCGCAAAGTACATATACTGTACGTTTGAGGGTCTCTTTCAAGTAGACACGATTCTGATAAACAGAGAGTTCGTCGAACTGGTTCTGGATGTCTAGTTCTATGCACTTTATAAACGGGAAATTCAGACACAGACGTTAAATGTTCGTCGTCACTATCAAATTATTCTTGTTAAAATAAAATAAATATTAAAAAAAAATAGTTTTTACCTATATTTACCAAATCTTTGAAGTTGGAAATCTTCTAATGTAATGGGAGTACTTAGTACTTTGATTGTAAGACCTAAATTTTGACTTGCACTTTCCAGCATTTTTATTTTGATTTCTTCAAAATCAACAGCTTGGAACAAGTGCAGTCTTCCAAAGCCGCCGTAGACTATCACAAATGCCCCTAAAAAACAACAAAATTAAATTAAGTCGTTCATGAGAAATATACAACCCGGTATATCAAAATAGTATACAGAGTGTTTCGTCTAAACCCCACATTAGAAGTATTGGGTGTTTGAATAAATTTATTTTTGTTTAATGAACGACATCATAATTTTGTTACACTCTCCATAAATACAGAATAAATTAATTAAATCTACGTTTGAGTAGTTTTGACTCTTCACATTTTGGCACTATTTCTCAAATAATAAGTCACTGTCGACGTTTATTAAGAAACAATTTTGACATTTTTTATTTCCATAGCAAACTATACGAAAACGTAATAGATTTTCGACAGTCTTAACAAAAAGTAACCATAACTTAAAAAATTATTAAATTTTGGTATAGGAAATGTTAATACAGATCGATGCAGAATTAAATTCTCTTCCATTTAGTAAAATAAAAATTTCATTTGGAAA